AATAATTTATAAAAGATTTATTTTAATTTGACTTTAATCAAATCGGTTAAACATTGAACTTTTATAATAAAATTTATTTTTGTAAAACCTTAACCACTAAAAATACTAAAATGCTAATTATTAAAAAAAAAGTAACAAAGTAAATGATAGATTTTTTTAGATTTTTTGTAAACTATGAGATCGATGGGGAGGCTCAATCGAAAAATAATCCTATCGCGAGATAGCGAAGATACCCAGTTCAATGGAAAGTTTCCTATGTTAACTTATTTTGTCCTGGCAATTTAACTTTTGTTGTCCCACTTTACCGAAAATCGGGTTTATACTTCATCGGATCCATTTCTCAATATGCAAAATTATTTTCCCGAAAAACGAAATAACCTTAGACATAGATACTAAGCGACCTTCATCGGGTTTTTTTCGGTGATTTATGAATGAAATTCAAATTTATGAAATAAAAAATGAATGCAACCTTAGATTTGGCTACTATAGCAGTTTCTTCATTTTGCCCGGCTTTCGATGTTCCTAAAAATTAATTAAGGTTTTTGGTTGAGATAAAATACTCAGTGTCACAAGCGGGATTCGAACTCACGACCTTCGGCTTGACACTTCCCATCTCAACCCCACCTTTTGAATTTTTCCGCCTTTTTGCCATTTTTCAAATGTGTAATCAGCTCAAGTGGTAGAGCAGCGGCGTATTTAGCCGAAGGTCGTGGGTTCGAATCCCGCTCGTGACACTGACTTTTTTATCTCAACCAAAAACTTTAATATTGAAAAGAATTTATTTGGTCAAGCGGACCACGAAACCTAATAAAATGTTCCTAAATATGTTTTTCTTAACTATAAGTTTGAGAAGTATTACATTAAAATTAATTCCTATCCACTGTTTCTTTCTTCTCAAATGAAAAAACTTTCAGAATTGTCGTTACCATCTTCTCTGCTCTAGAGGACAAAGGGTATTTACTTGGGTCGTTTCTAGATGTTGGAAATTTTGAAGTTGAACTGGGCTTGAGGTACCCCGGTATAATTTTTTTCCAAAAAAAGATAAAAATTTTAAACTAGACTAAAAAGCAATAAAGTTTGTTTTATAGAGTAAATGATTTAAGAAAAATTCTTTTGCCGAAAAACTTGACTTTTACTCAGCAGGAAAGAAAAATAGTGACTAGACAGATTATTGCACTAATAGACTACTTTCATGTTCTTTTGCCGAATAATGTTTATTTAACTGTTATAAATTTCTTATATATTTGCCTTTGTAAAGGTTTTTTTAATTTGTTGGGTTTTGTGGTCCGCTTGACCAAATAAATTCTTTTCAATTAATTAAGATTTTGATTGAGATAAAAAAAGTCAGTGACACAAGCGGGATTCGAACCCACGATCTTCGGCTTGATACGCCGCTGCTCTACCACTTGAGCTATCGTGACTTCCATCCACTCGGACACTAAGCCGAAAGTCGTGGGTTCGAATCCCGCTTATGACACTGACTTTTTTATCTCAATCAAAATCTCAATTAATTGAAAATGGTTATTAATATTACGATATTCCCAATATTTAAAATAAAATTTAGCCACCATTAAGTTATTTTTGTTTAGTTAACTTTGATTTCTGAATTATCTCACTGATAAAATATTATATGAATGGAATATAATTTAGAACAGATTTTTGAATTGGATATAAAGCTTTTTGGCTAAAGTTATCCGGGGAAAAAAACAATCTAGCGTGAAATTCAGTTTCCTTTAAATATTTTATTCGACCGAACAGATTCGGAAGGATTATGTTTTTTCTTTCTTAACGAAGGCAAATTAGATCAGAAATGGATTAGCCTTGATACAAAAGGAAGTCCGACAAGGGAAAACAACCATTTTGGAATAGAATTTCTTTCAAGCCCTTCATTGGAGCTTGTGGAGGTTCCAATTACTTCGGCATTCACCCCATTTCTTCCTTCCACGGCCCTCCCCCCTGGAGCCTGTATAGACTTCATACGAACCTTAAAATACTGCCTTTCTTTTTTTCCCTTTCTCTTCATCCTCCCAATTGCTTTTATACGGTGATAAAAAAGAGGGTAAAGAAAAATCGTTTTCAATCAAAATAAATGAAACATTAAAAGAACCAACTCCCTAGGATGTAATCTATTTCGTGAAATGCGTTTGTTAAGCCGTGCGAATGTGGCGGGTAAAAATTGTTTAAGCTCGTAAACCTCAAAATAAGGGAGAAAAAAACCGAAAAACCCCCTTTTTTAACATCGTATTTTCACTCCTTTCTTATATATTCGGCCCTCCGGAGATCAATTGGTGCCAGAATTAAGCTCGTAAATCTTAAAATCACAAAATAAAAACAACATTTCTATTTCTTGAATATTTCTAAAACCAATATTCAAATAAAAATTCAATATTTCTATATTGGTTATATTTGTATTTGTCTCCGAAAATTTGGCCCTCCTGAGTTGTTAGGTTAAATAATTAAGCTCTCAAATCTCAAAATAAGTGAGGAAAAGAAAAAATAAAACATCAAAAGCTCCTATTTTCTTATTGTAGTATTTTTAACTTCTTTCTTATATATTTAACTCTCCTGAGGCGATTGGCACAAGAATTAATCCCGTCAATCTCAAATTAAACTAAAAAAGCAAAAAACAAAAAAACGCGAAAAACTCCTATTTACTATCATCGTATTTTTACTCGTTCCTTATAGATTTGGCCCTTCTTCATCGATCAGTGCAAGAAAGCGTGTAAATATTACAATCCGAAAAAATAACAACAAAAAATGAAATCGTCTTTCGACCCTCTTGAGTCAATTCGCGCAAAAAAGCTCGTAAACCAAAAAATCAGAGAAAATAAAAACAAAAATCTAATATTTCTGTACTCATCAATTCGTGTTTGTTTCCTTAAATTCGACCTTCCTGAGTTGATTGGTGCATAATTTAGCTCGTAAACTACGAAATAAGTGAGAAAACAAAAAAAACTATTATTTTTTATCATCGTATTTTTCGTTGTCCTTACCGACTCGGCCCTCCTGGGTCAAATCGTGTAAAAAAAAAGCTCGTAAGCCAAAAAAATCAGAGAAAATAAAAACAAAATTCATGCAGAAAAAGCTCGTAAACCAAAAAATAAGGGAAAATAAAAACAAAAATCCATTATTTCTGTACTCGCCATATTTGTATTTTTCACCTTAATTCGGCCCTTTTCAGTTAATTGGTGCATAATTAAGCTCGTAAACTACGAAATAAGTGAGAAAACAAAAACAAAACACGAAAACTCATATTATTTTTTATCATCGTATTTTTCCTCATCCTTACTGATTCGGCTCTCCTTGATCAAATCGTGCAAAAAAGCTTCTAAACCAAAAAAATTAGGGAAAATAAAAACCAAAATCCAATATTTCTGTACTCATCAAATTTGTGTTTGTTCCTTAAATTCGGCCCTCCTGAGTCGATTGTTGCATAATTAAGCTCGTAAACAACGAAATAAGTGAGGAAAAAACACGAAAACTCTTATTATTTTGTATCATCTTATTTTTACCTCTTCCTTACAGATTCGGCCCTCCGGGGTCAAATCGTGTAAAAAAAAGCTCGTAAGCTAACAAATCAGAGAAAATAAAAACAAAAAATTCAATATTTCTGTGCTCATCATATTTGTATTTGTCTACTTAAATACGATTCACCGGACTTGATTGGTGCATAATTAAGCTCGTAAACTACGAAATAAGTGAGAAAACAAAAACAAAACACGAAATGTCGTATTATTTTTTATCCTCGTATTTTTCCTCTTCATTACAGATTCGGCTCTCCTCGATCAAATCGCGCAAAAAAGCTCCTAAACCACAAAAAATTAGGGAAAATAAAACAAAAATCCAATATTTCTGTACTCATCAAATTTGTGTTTGGCTCCTTAAATTCTACCCTCCTGAGTTGATTGGTGCATAATTAAGTTAGAAAACCACGAAATAAGTGAGAAAACGAAAAAAACACGAAAAGTCCTATTATTTTTTATCACCGTTATTTTTATGTTTTTCTTAAAGATTCGGCCTTTCTAAGTCAATTCGTGCAAAAAAGCTCGAAAACCAAAAAAAATAGGGAAAATAAAACAAAAAATCCAACATTTCTGTACTCACCAAATTTGTGTTTGGCTCCTTAAATTCTACCCTCCCGAGTTGATTGGTGCATAATTAAGTTCGAAAACCACGAAATATGTGAAAAAACAAAAAAAAACACGAAAAGTCCTATTATTTTTTATCATCGTTATTTTTACGTTTTTCTTAAAGATCCGGCCTTTCTGAGTCAATTCGTGCAATAAAAGCTCGTAAGCCAAAAAAATCAGGGAATATAAAAACAAAAATCCAACATTTATGTACTCGTAATGTTTGTATTTGTCAACTTAAATTCGACCCTCCTGAGACAATTCGTGCAAAAAACCTCGTAAACCTCGAAAAAGTGAGGAAAAAACGAAAAATCCTTTTTTTTTCATCGTATTTTTTCCTTACAGATTCGGCCCTCCTAAGCCAATTCGAGCAAAAAAGCTCGTAAACCAAAAAAGTCAGGGAAAATAAAAACGAAAAATCCAATATTTCTGTACTCATCAAATTTGTGTTTGTGTACTTAAATTCTACTCTCCTGAGTTGATTGGTGCATAATCAAGTACGTAAACCACGAAATAAGTGAGAAAACAAAAAAAAACACGAAAAGTCCTATTATTTTTTATCATCGTTATTTTTACGTTTTTCTTAAAGATTCAGCCTTTCTGAGTCAATTCGTGCAATAAAAGCTCGTAAGCCAAAAAAATCAGGGTATATAAAAAGAACAATTACAATATTTATGCACTCGTCATATTTGTATTTGTCTACTTAAATACGATTCACCGTAGTTGATTGGGGCAATAATTAAGCTCGTAAACCTCGAAATAAGTGAGAAAATACCCGAAATTAACCACAACAATTTTACTTCTTACCCCATATGGGGCAGCTGAAATATGTGTATAAAACTATTAATATGTATTATTATTGTATTTCAGGTCAGATAAGGGTGATAGGAGGTTCTAATGCAGTGAGGGGCCAATTTCCTTACCAAGTGCTTATGAGAGTTATGAATAAAGGGAAGCAATTCTTTTGCGGTGGTTCTGTCATTTCCGACAGTCACGTCCTCACTGCCGCTCACTGCGTCGAGAAGTCTGTATTTATTTTCATGCTATTTTTTTTTTTTTTTTTTTTTTAATAATTTTAAAGTGAAACATGTATATTCCATTTTGCTTTTTCTACTTCCAGCGTTAGTTTCCTGCTTCTCACATTCGGTTCTGTGACGACTTCGCCCCTCGACGGTACTGAGTCGCGGTTCGTGACAAAGAACGACGTCGTCGCCCATCCTGATTACGACCCTGTTGATGTCAAGAACGACATCGCTTTGATTTTCTTGAACAGGCCTGTACAACTCAGCGGTAAGATTGTTGTTTTTATTTAACGCCCTAAAAATATTCTTGAAAGCTATCTGATTTGTCCAATGAATATTCAAACATTTCTGTTTCTACATACAATGTTGTACGGCTGATTTCGCCCTATCATCACAACTAAATTTAACATTGCAACAAAAAACAGCGTTTTTCCCTCCAACTTTTAATTTTCTTTAAAACTCAAAAAATAACATAGTAAAAGCAGATTTATTAATTTTCACGAGAGAGAAAGACACCGTCACGAAAAAAATTGACTCGCTGATTTGTTTCCATTCAATGTTTTCAACCTTCATCGAAAATCCGTGAAATTCTTTGACTAGAAGAATAACAAAGAAGTTTGATAAATTGGCAATAAGTTTCTTTCATCCGGAGAGAAATAAAGCTCTAATAAAGTCAAGGCCGCGAGTAGATGGTGTTGACAGCAGTGGAATCGAAATTGATCACCTTGGGTCCGCCTATCGTCGCTGTCACTCCAGCATTGTCACCAACTTGGTACAAGTCCGTACCCGGTGTTTGTTCTTTTGAGTTTATTCTATTCTAAAGGTGAAAATGGACTAATTGCTCTTTATTGTCTTTAATTCCATGTGCCATTAGACGCCTAACCTTTGTTTCTTGCTGTTTACTTTCACCTAAACCTTGGGTCCTGTTTTTCCAGCAGTTATCAATGGGTCCGTAGTTTTGTAATCAGCTAATACTGCAGTCAAGAGTTTTATTTTCATATGTTTCGTTCACTTTTCCATCGGCCACAAATGACCTGATAATGTTCAACAGCAAATTTTTCAATTGCTGTCATTGTTTCATTTTGTCAATAACAAAAAGAAAAAAGTTTCAAATCTGCAAACGAACGGCCTTCTCATTGTCCCATACTATATGCCCTGGTACCCAAAGGGTAATTTTTGGGGTCTTTATGATATCCCAAACGGTTCTAGACTTCGCTAAAGTTCAGTTCCGCTTGGCTGTTCGAGTAAATGGTTAATCTTTTGTTGGTAATAGACTTTTCCGTTTGGAAAACTGCGGATTTCTAAGCTTTGGTTTCTTTCTATCGATTCCAGCTCCATGCTCGGTCTAAAGTCATCTGCATACCAAATACAGTAATCCCTTTAACTCTTCGCAGCTGTTTGGTTCCGGAAAACTGCCGTGAATATTAAACCCGCGAATGTTGATGATTTTCCTATGCTGAGAGGGCTGAGAGGAGGTTACGTTCTATCATGCCAAAAATTGAGGTACAATTCAAAACTCGAAATATATTTATTCAAAATAAACGTAATAGAAGACATAACAGTGTTTGTACATGTTTTCATTTTTTGTATTTTTTGATGTGGAAGGAAAGAAATACTTCGTGTTAATTAATTTATTTTAGAATTTCCACATAAGGATTTGAAGCGGATTCGACATTCCTTATAAATCCATTACAGTTCGTGGTCCGATTGACCAATTAACTTTTTTCAAATAATTAACATTTATGAAAGGTATGGTTGAGATAAAAAAGTCAGCGTCACGAGCGGGATTCGAACCCACGACCTTCAGCTAAATACGCCGCTGCTATATCACTTAAGCTATCGTAACTTCGATCCGCACGGACACTAACTTCCCATCCTAACCTCACCTCTCGAATTTTCCCTCCTTTTTCATTGCCATTCTTCGAAGTCACGAAGATCGTGGGTTCGAATCCCGCTCGTGACGCTGACTTTTTTATCTCAACCAATACCTTTCGTAAATGTTAATTATTTGAAATTCCTTTTAAACTTAAAATTTCGTTGTAAAGATGGGTCGAAATCCAATGCTTTTTGGATAAGTTGGTCCCTCAAGGTTAAAATTTCCCTGAGATGTTTTCAAGATAAGCTTTGGCCTGCATAAAAAATATTAAATGAAAGAAAAAGTTAAACGACTTGAGCTTCATGACTTCGATCCGCTCGGACACTAACTTCCCATCTCAACCCCACCTCTCGAATTTTCTCTCCTTTTTGCCATTTTTATTGCCATTCTTCGAAGTCAAGATAGCGCAAATGGTAGAGCAGCGACGTATTTAGACGAAGGTCGTGGGTTCGAATCCCGCTCGTGACGCTGACTTTTTTATCTCAACCTACCTTTCATAAATGTTAATTATTTGAAATTCCTTTTAAACTTAAAATTTCGATTTAAAGATGGGTCGAAATCCAATGCTTTTTGGATAAGTTGGTCCCTTAAAGTTAAAATTTCCCTGAGACGTTTTCAAGATAAGCTTTGGCCTGCATAAAAAATATTAAATGAAAGAAAAAATTAAATCAACGCCTGCCAAAAAACTCGTGTCTTCCCGGCTCTCATTTTCGTATTCAACTTCCTCAGATTAGTTTCCTCTTCTTTTTTTCACAACAGGTCTTCATCCAAAAACATTTTTTTCGTGAGAATTCTAGCAATTCGTTAATTTCGTCTTGTCTCATATCGTCAAATCCTTCACCGATCTGATGCGCTAGCCGGACGATTTCTTTTTCCTCATTTTGAACCAGTGGAACAGCGTTCTTTTCGACCACCTGTGACCTCTTTCTCCAGCGAACTAGACTTCATTTCCTGCCAAGATGCATCGATATTTACAATGCAATCGGCAATATTAAATTTCTTACATCAACTTGTTCCTGTCCTTTTAAAATGATAGTTCCTACTCAAAGTAAGTTGTTTTCAACGATCCGGATTTCGAGCTTTTAGCTCATCATCAGGTTGAAGGAGTTGTACAACCACGTCTCTCGACACGATTGCAAAAGTGTCTTTTATCTTATTTGTGTCTTTTATCTATCTTTTGCAATTCATGTCGAGAGACGTGGTTGTACAACTCCTTCAACCTGATGATGAGCTAAAAGCTCGAAATCCGGATCTTTTGAAAACAGATGAAGAAAAACTAGTTTATTTGACCAAATATTTACGTATGTGCAGATTGCAACCTGACTCTTTTTACATTTGCGTTAGAAGTGCGAAAGACACTGGGCTTTATAACCTTCTACAACCTTAATATTGTAATCATTTTGTATTATGTAAGCCTGTTTCTGCGTTTAGCGGGGAAAAATGAATGATTATTAAAAAAAACCGCTGTCAATAAAAAAAAAACCCGCTGTCAATAAAAAAAACCGTTCAGTAAAAAAAAACCCCGCTGTCAAAAAAAACCCGCTGTCAAAAAAAAACCGCTGTCAATAAAAAAAAAACCCGCTGTCAGTAAAAAAAAACCCGCTGTCAAAAAAAAACCCCGCTGTCAAAAAAAACCCGCTGTCAAATAAAAAAAACCCGCTGTCAAATAAAAAAACCCGCTGTCAAAAAAAAAACCCGCTGTCATAAAAAACCCGCTGTCAAATAAAAAAACCCGCTGTCAAAAAAAACCCGCTGACAAAAAAAACCCGCTGTCAAATAAAAAAACCCGCTGTCAAAAAAAAACCCGCTGTCAAAAAAAACCCGCTGTCAAATTAAAAAAACCGCTGTCAAAAAAAACCCCGCTGTCAAAAAAAACCCGCTGCCAAAAAAACCCCGTTGTCAAAAAAAACCCGCTGTCAAATAAAAAAAAACCCGCTGTCAAAAAAAAAACCCGCTGTCAAAAAAAAAAATTCTCTGTTTTGAAAACAACTTACTGTGAGTAGGAACTATCTTTTTAAAAGATTATTCAGAAATCGTGAGATGCTGTCTGGTGTGATGTAGGTTTTAGAAAAACGTTTTCTTTATCGTGCCAACGTTTCGATCTTTATTGAGATCACCTTCAGAGCTCAAAGTGTTAGTTTCAGAAAACAAACACTTTGAACCCTGAAGATGATCTCAATAAAGATCGAAACGTTGGCACGTTAAAGAAAATGCTTTTCTGAAACCTACATCACACCAGACCGCATCTCACGATTTCTAAATAAATGTCGATTAACGGTCACTAATCACCACACCTTTTTAAAAGGATCGGACACCGCATTCACTCCACCATTCATCATTTCTACTTGTTACTGTTTCATCTGAATTGCACTCAATAGCATTTAAAATTCGCTTGAAATTGTGTTTAGTGTAATAAGCCTTAAAAGTTTCCACACGAAAATAAACTTGTTTAAACAACTGTTTTCCCCGCGAATAAAGAAATCGGACCTCCTGCAAATGTCAAATTTTTCCACATTTTTTCATACGTGAAAAAATCGGAAATGTCAAAACCGCGAATGTTAATGGATTACTGTATACATAATTGGTTTCCAGGAGAATAACTGAAATAACATTTAAGAAGCGAAAAATAAAAATAAATAGACTGTACTTTTAGGATCATAAGAGAGTTAAACTCATAATGGCAGTTAGAAAGTTCCTCATCTTCTTTGTCCGCTATTTCACGCCATTTAGTCTTCATTACAAGTAGTTGTGTAAATACTGTAAAGGACATGTCAGGAATTCCCAATTTAGTCCTTATACACAATTTGAAAATCTTTCCTTAAATTTTTCACTCTGCTTATAATGTAAGAAGTTTAAGGGAGGAATGAATAGCAATTAAACGGTAATAACGCAATTTTATATCGGTTGTAGAGTTAAGTGTAAATTTCGGTGACTCCAGGAAAAAACTGGAACGGGATTCAAATGGGGTGGCCGATGCGGAAGTAAAGTATGAGTGTGTAAAAATGATATAATGTTTTAATAATCCTTGGCCGTGGATTAGGGTTGAGCTCGTAGGTGGAAAGCAGAGAGGGCAGTCTAATTTTAACCCTCGGCCTTGTTCACGCCCTGGATTCAATTTTCCGAAACCGTATTAAAATGCAGGAGGCAATAGATTAGAAAGGGGTGGAAACGGACCGATTATTCTTAATTGTTCCACTTGACTATTTCCGCGACTTTCCGAATCCAGCGTGCGGTGCTTAAACGAATTCGGATGTTCGACCCCCCCTGCCAATCAACACGTTTGAGCTTAGGTTTGGCCGGTCCGTTTTCCTTTTTGCTCAAAAATATAAGCATATTTTCACAAAAAACGCCGCACAGTGGAACGAATAGTGCGATTTTCCTGACATGGCATTTTTACCCTGACATTCCTCCATAAATATTTCATTGTGGAACGTTTTCTCTTTGTTTTTTATTGTAGAATCGATTAGTGAAGTCATTTTGGTGATTGGAGCCGTGCGAAAACAACTAGGCACATAAGAACATTTGATTTAAAATTTTATTATTTACAAAAAATTGGATGGTAATAAATTAATCGAATAAAAAAATCTATCAAAATAAACAAAGAATAAATACAAAAGAAAATTACAATGGTGTTGAATTAATTTAACTATTAATTAATTTAATCAGTGCTGGTCTCTCCTAGCAATAGCGATTCAGGTATCACAATCCATAGAAGTGTCATCTTCATCTTCATCTTCGGGCAAATGATCTTCAACGTTCAACTTTTAGTTTTTCTTCTAATAAAACAATATTATTTGAAGAAACCGTCTCATTTGAAATATTCCTAAAAATTTCTTCTTTAAGAAGTAGATAATTTTTTGGATCCGTAGGATTTTGTAAAAATTAAACAAATCACCGTTAGTCTCAAACATTGTCACAAAACGTTAGTACCGAGAATGCAACGAGAATGACAATAATGCTATGTTACTTAATCCCGCAATATAGTGGGATCATCTCCCTCTAAAATCTGGGGTGCCCCAGGGGTCTAGCATCTCTCCTATCCTTTTTTCCATTTATAAAAGTGATCTGCCCGATTCCATCCAGTCCTGTAACTATCACCTATATGCCGATGACTCCCAAATATACATATCCTTCCACCCTTCCGATCTTCACTCGGCCATTCTCAAGATCCAAAAAGACCTAAACTCCATCAACGAATGGGCCCATAAAAATTCCCTAGTCCTCAATCCGTCCAAATCCACCGCCATAATTATCGGGTTCAGGCAACTCCTCAATTCCCTCCCCAGCATCCCACCTCTCATGCTAAATAACCATCCCATCCCCTTCTGCTCCTCGGTTAAAAACCTAGGAGTAGTCTGACCAAAACCTTTCCTGGCATTCCCACATTTCCCGCCATTCCATCGCCTCCCTCAGCCTGTTCCGTCGGTCCTGGCTTCTCTTACCTTTCTCCACCCGCAAACTTCTTGTATCTTCCCTTATCCTTCCCTTCTTTGATTATAGCTGTTTGGCATACGGTGGTCTCTCGGAGAGGGAGAACGCGCGTTTGAAGCGTATTATGAAATGTTGTGTAAGATTTGTGTACGGTACCCCACGGGGATCCCTGGTGTCGGGGTTGTATTCCCAACTTTCCTGGCTCTTCCCCTCCTTCCGTGCACAGTATTTCCTAGGTTGCTTTCTTTTCCAGTCCATCCACACTCGTCGTCCTCCTTACATCATCCAATCCCTCCAATTCAACTCCTCACATCTCACTCGTAAGACCTGCTCATCCCTAATCGACCTTATCCTTCCGCAACATACAACCCATACCTTCGAAAGATCCTTTCTGATCCGAGCCCCTAAACTCTGGAACTCCCTTCCCCTTTCTATTCGCCACGCTGCCTCCTTTTCCTCTTTTAAATCCCATCTTTATAATCACCTCCTCTCCCTCCAAGCAGAGACCTCACGATAACATTTATTATTTTTGTTTAATATTCTCTTAATTTTCTCTCCTGGCCTGCCTTACTGGCATACATTGTGCAAAGATTTCTATCTTTTTTTTTTAATTTGTAACTTCATAGAAGGTACTTCCTTTATTTTATCTCATGTAAATTATTCTTAGGGGACACCAGTCCCAGAATAAAGTTATTTTTCTTCTTCTTCTTCTTCTTCTTAATATAAAAACTGTTTTAAAAAAAAACCACTTGTTCCAATATGTTTTGTGGACAAAATGGGAACAGGGATATAATTCCTACATATTTCTTTCATTAAATACATAAGTTAGAAGCCTGTGAAGGCAGTTTTTTGGAGCAATTTGGAGCTTTTTTTTAAATGCACACAAACATGCTCAAAGTTACTAAATATCAAGTGTCAATCTAATACACCCAGTATTTTATTAGACCTAAGGTTTTTTATTCAGTTTCAATACCTCATTAGTATGGAAAAACAGGTAACATCATTAAAAAATTAAGAAAAAGTTAAAGTTGAAAGAAATATAATTTCACAAATGTTTAACTCTCACTTGTCAATTTCTAATACTTGTTTTCATATATACAACGATGCTACTTTGTATCCAGGAAAATTGTTGCTTTTTCTTATACCTAAGAGGTTGTAGAGGGTGCAAATAGGTAGGGGTTTGGAATAGAAAAAATTTTTTGGCCCATGTCAGAGATTTTGTGCCTTTCGTCCCATTGTGCGCTGCTGCCATTTCAACCGTCCTTTCTCAACCCACTAAAATTAAGCACTACAATTACAAAAAGATTTGACAATTTTGTTGTTTATTTTTTAAACAATTTACTTTTTTTATAAATAATCATAACTAAAAAGATACCGATGTGTTTATTATAGTTTCTTGTAAATACAAATACACAAGTGTATATAAAATAAGAGAAAAAAATATTCACCCTTGGTATTCCGTCTCCCATGAGTGAAACTTTTACAGAATTTACATATCTTTTCGTGTCCACTTTATAATTTTCTATTAACAAATAGAATTAAAAATTCAGTTTTTTTAAATAAAAGTATATTTAGAAAAGATAACAAAATATTACTTTTGTTTACAAAATAATACTTGTAATGGCATAACTAGTCGTCTGCCAGTTGACCCTTACATATTTACACTTAAATTAACATAAAAATTATAACTTAACATAAAATTATCTCTGCAATTCAGTGCATCTAAAATATATCTATACAAACTAAACCAATCTTTCCCATTTAAAAGGTCTACATACTCACGGAAAGTCAAACGACATCTGTGGAACCAAATTAATCTAATGTTTTCCAATGTTGGACAAAATGCCAAAAAATGAAACGAATCTTCGACCGTTTTTAGTTTACAGATGACATGCTTGGTCTCTTTCCTCCAACCAAGGCTTAAAGTTTAAATGTAATAATTGACCTCTCGCGTGAAAAACAACCTTGATCAAATTCCAGTTGTCTTCCTTGTACAAGTAATTGTTGTTTTCAAGATCAAAATCCGATTCCTAGTAGAAGTAGAAGATTGCACTTTTCTTAAACATTCTTCTTTATGATGAGTTTCTGCTGCCTGCAATAATTGTACTGCCCAAATTTTGAAATCTTTCGCATCTGTAAAATTTATACGAGACCTACAGTACAATTATTAAATTATATTATATTAAAAACTCATTTATTTAAATAAATTTGGTCTAGATAAGCTAGATATCAACAAAAAGACACAAAAGAACAAAAGATAAAAATCATGAAATTGTCTACACTAGAATACAGAACTATAAAAGTTGAGTTTCAAAAGTGCCAATAGAATTTTTAGATTCAAAGTAATTATCAGATCTAAGGAGAAGTCAGCACAATATTCTCAAAAGTACTAAATTTTATCAGCTTCTATTAAATATATAAATACTCAATTATTTATACACAATTTCGAAATGAAAAATTTGTGTCACAGGCGGGATTCGAACCCACGACTTTCGGCTCAGTACGCCGCGGCTCTACCACTTGAGCTACCGTGACTTCGATCGCCCATGCCACAAACTTCTCATTTCAACTGCCCGATTTTATTCTAATTATAAGCAGATCGCGGCTTCATATAGAAACACTTTTTATTAACGATTGTACTAGATTAGCGGGACTGTGTACGATTCACAGGTGTGATTCTAAATTAATACTAAATTTTATCAGTTTCTATTAAATATATAAATACTCAATTAATTATACACAATTTTTTTCGAAATGAAAAATTTGTGTCACAGGTGGGATTCAAACCCACGACTTTCGGCTCAATACGCCGCCGCTCTACCACTTCAGCTACCATGACTTTTTCATTTCGTCCTCCCATGTGTCTATTTTTAAGTCTAATGTGTAAACTCAAGATCAAAAACCTAACATCTATCATCTAAAGTATACGGGCAAAGCTGACAGAAATGTGCCAACTCTGCTAAGAGAAGCCAGAGAAAAAGGCACATAGCTTTTTGAAAGTGAAGCATGAGCCCTTCAGCTGCTTACAGAAGTTTGTTGCGACTGTATTTATTAGCTGGTAATGAAGGTGGAATACCATCGAAACATATGTTTTTGACCTTTTATGTAAAGTGGAGGAAAGAATAAAGAAAGAAAATTAATGTAAGGGATGTTTATGTAAAACCCTGCACATATCGAGGCTTTCAAAGCTGTGATACCACTTGGACTTAATTTCCTTGAACAAGGAATAAACAGTGGACTACTAAGACCAAGCAAGAAAGAAATTTAAAGTATAGTCTTTAAAAAAATCTAAATATTTTACTTATTATTTTACCAATCATTGTACAAAAATTATAAAAGATTTTATAATTTAGTAAAATATTTATTTATTTGTAGTCTATGTCAGCCCAGTTCAATTACCAACTTCAAACTATGTTGAGAACGTTGATGGCTATCTAACAGGATGGGGACGAACCAGCGACAGTAAGTTTTACCAAAGGTGTTTAATTAGAATAATCTAAATGAAAAAAAAATTTTTTTTGTAATTTCAGGTTCAAAAAAGGCAGCCAAAGTCTTGCAGTACGCTAAAATGGAACTACTCCCTCTATATAAATGCATGTACTACTGGAATTCATTAGGCATTCCTGTTGACAGTAGTCAAATATGCACAAAATATGTCGGAACCGCTAGCTGTAATGTAAGAAAAACTTATTTTATGGGGAGATGATTCTGGTTTTCTGAGGGAAAAATGCGGTTATTGTAAACATATTTCAATTAATTAAGGTTTTTGTTGAGATTAAAAAGTCAGTGTCATGAGTGGGATTCAAACCCACGGTCTTCAGTTAGATACGCTGCTGCTCTACCACTTGAGCTATCATGATCTCGATCCACTCGGACACTAACTTCCCATCTCAACCCCACCTTATGAATTTTCCCTCCTTTTTTCCATTTTTCAAATGTCGTGTAATCTATTTGATTCTCAGCGACAAATGAAGTTTGGTTGAGATGGGAAGTTAGTGTCCGAGTGGATCGATGTCACGATAACTCAAGTGGTAGAGAAGCGATGTATCTAGCAGAAGGTCGTGGGTTTGAATCCCGCTCGTGCCATTGACTTTTTATCTCAACTAGAAACCTTAATTAATTGAAATATATTAATTGGTCAAGCGGACCACTAAAACTAGTGAATTGTAAACATATTTGCAAAATGTTATGAAGGCATAGATGGTATTTCCATGTGCAGTCAATTTTCAGTACTTTACCATTTTTAGTGGTAGGTCAGTTACCTAAAGGAATTTGACTTTCAATAAAAGTTCATCACTTTCATTAAGTTAATTCTGGCCTGGAAGAGAAACCTTTTATGATCTCTAACAGAAGTCAGTGCTTTGCTGACCTATACTCTGATTTTTAAAAAGGAAAACATATTGTGACATTGTTTTAATTTCATCTTGTTTTATTGACTTCAAAGATATTTTCCTTCATTTCCTATTATTTATAAATGTTAATTAAACCTGCATCTACTTCTGAAAACTAGGCATGCAGCCCATTTTATACTTTCATTTTAATGTGCCTATTGATTTTTATTATGGGCTTTACGAACTTAAATGCTTCGACTCACTCCTCACCTAATTCTACAATCTTATTTAATTAACTGCTGCTTCAGAGCGAGATGCGGCAATAAGTTCTTGGACAAGCCATCATCCAGCGAGGGAGCATTCTTAGTCCCATCCTTTTTATCATTTATACTTCTGATCTACCTATACATCCCATTATCATCATCACCACCTAGAAAGTTATCACAAATTTTATTTTATTTATTTACAGTCCAAACAGGTCAGGTACTTAAGCATAGTAGTCAAGCAACATAAAAAACAATCATTATAATATAAACTACTAAAAAAAGATATAAAAATACAGCAAAGAAGCGCTTACCTTTTAACAAAAAATCAATATTATAAATAGATTAATAAATAGCACAACAAAAGTAATAAATAAACCCTCAATTGCATTTTAAAGCATATTCAATATTTTTTTAAAAGATCTGAAGGGACGAGGAGAAGGGGTCCGCACTGATAGAGAATTTTTTAAGTAATGCACAGCTGTGGAGATTGAAGACTGTAATCCGTATTTGATCCTGTGCCATGAAATACCAAACAACTCATGGGTCCGTAGTTGATGCTGGGGAACCCTAAAGCCAATACAAGATAATATCTCCGGGGAGTCAATAAAATTTTTTAGGATCTTCCACAGAAACACAACGGAAGCCAAAACTCTTCTATCCTCCAGAGAATCTAGGCCTACTAGAGCAAGTCTGGCTTCATAGGAGCAAAGACAGTAGTTCCTGTGATTGCATAATTTGTAATACAGGTATTTCGTAGCCTTTCTCTGTACACTTTCTATCATGTAAGACCCATTTAAAGAACTCGGCGACCAAACAACACTGGCATACTCTAGGTGACTGCGCACCAGAGATTGATAGAGTAATTTTATTACAAAAGGGCTCTTAAAGTCAGCAGTTTGCCTGATTTTGAATCCTAAATTTTTAAATGATTTATATCTAATGGCATGGATATGGTCCCGAAAATCACAATTCTTATTAAAAATAACCCCCAGATCCGAGAAAAAATATCACCTCGTCAATGTGATAACCTTCGATACTATAAACGAGTTGGTTGTAATTGTGAATTATTTTTTTCTTGCTGAACTGCAAAATCTTACATTTATTTTCAAATTATTATGCTTACACCAAAGCCAAAAGCGACTCGTCATTTTGTAAGAGAATACAATCATTCCACAGGGGGAAATATATTTTCAAATCGTCTGTTAACAATGAAAATGAAGAATTAATGAAAGCAGAAGCGATGTCATTAAAAAATAAAAGAAATAAGATCGGACCAGAATGAAAGCCTGCAGTACACCAGATCGTACGTGGACAGGTTTCGATAAGCCTTCATACTAAACTTTGTCGTCTAATTTCACTAATTTCGTGGTGCGCTTTACCAATTAATATATTACAATTAATTAAGGTTTTTAGTTGAGATAAAAAAGTTAATGGCACGAGCAGGATTCAAACCCACGATCTTTGGCTAGATACGCCGCTGCTCTACCACTTGAGCTATCATGGCCTCGATCCACTCGGACACCAACTTCCCATCTCAACCTCACCTTTTGAATTTTCCGTTTTTTGCCATTTTTCAAATGTCGTGTAATCGGATTGGATTCTTGACGACAAATGAAATGGCCACGGAGAGCTTTAGTGAAGTACACTTAATTTTAAATCATTAAATTCACTAATTTCGTGGTCCGCTTGACCAATTAATATATTACATTAATTAAGGTTTTTAGTTGAGATAAAAAAGTCAATGGCACGAGCGGGATTCGAACCCACGACATTCGGCTAGATACGCCGCTGCTCTACCACTTGAGCTATCATGACCTCGATCCACTTGGACACCAACTTCCCATCTCAACCTCTCCTTTTGAATTTTCTCTCCTTTTTGCCATTTTTCGAATGTAGTGTAATCGGATTGTGGATTCTCAACGACAAATGAAATGGCCACGGAGAGCTTTTAGTGAAGTATACTTCATTTTAAATCATTAAATTCACTAATTTCGTGGTCCGCTTGAACAATTAATAACATTCAATTAATTAAGGTTTTAAGTTGAGATAAAAAAGCCAGTGTCACGAGCGGGATTCGAACCCACGACCTTCGGCTAGATATGCCGCTGCTCTACTACTTGAGCTATCGTGACCTCGATCCACTCGGACACCAACTTCCCATCTCAACCTCTCCTTTTGAATTTTCTCTCCTTTTTGCCATTTTTCAACTTGAATCCTATCAAAAAAACTCCTTGACTGAATTGAAATTGGTGAACCCCTCGATTCAGTCCACTTTTGGGTACTAAATGTGCAATAAATAGTTAAATTTTACCATTAAAAGATCATGCATAATTTCTATTGACGAAGAACTAAAAAATGTTTACCCATTTGTATTATTTATTTATTTTTTTTTTTAATAAAAAGCACAGTTTCAGTTTGTGATAATGAAAACTTTAAAGGTTGCACGAGTCAATTAAAATACATCCATTCAATAGTCCATATTTTGGGTGCAGTGTGAGTCAAGAAGTATCCACATTTCACACAAAAGTTCTTATATATTACCAGTAATAGTACAATATAAAGAGAATTTCATACTCGACAGACTTGACTGGAAAGCAAAAAAATTTTAAACGTGTTTTTATTGATTTACATTATTTTATTAATTTTCTCAGGGTGATAGTGGAGGACCTCTTGTCGTGATGGAGCAGAATGGAGCCTATACGCAAGTTGGAATCGTTTCTTTTGGGGTCACACTATGTGAAAGCGGAAGCCCGAGCGTGTACACCAGAGTCGGAGCATACTTAAAATGGATCAATTTGATGACTGGCATTAAGTAGCAACTTTCTGACCTCAAACATTTTATTCGCGTCGCATCGTTCAAAAGAAAACTAACAAAATTATACATAAAAAAATGTATTTATAAAAATATATATATAAAATGACAATTTAATTGTTTGTATACATGACAAAAACATGGGAGGGATATAAATTCTATTAATTTTATTCAAAACAAACTTTTTTTAGAAAATTGCTTTTTAAAAGCACAATGCTACAGTTAATATTAAAAGTATTAAAAATCTGATTAAATACTTCTTTAGTAACACTGTTATGTATATTTATAATTGTATAAATAAAGATAGAAGGAAAAGTGACTGACACAAAATGAATTTTCAAGAAAGTTAAACCTAATTGTCATTTGAACAGACTGCGTATAAATAATTTACATCTAATAACTAATATAATATAATACAGAATATATAATATACAAATCATGAAAATATTACAATAGAGTTCACATTTTTGTTAACTGGAATCCCTCTATCATAAAGTATCATTTCAATCACAATAAAAAGAAGTAATGACATAAACCTGAAATTAAACTTAAAATTATTTAATTTTTTTCCTCCTTAATTAAATGATTTTAAACTATCATTCAACTGCAAGATGATCTTTTAAAAAATAAATATATATTTAAAAATTTACAAAGGAGTGTTTTTGTCAGTTGGCAGCGGGAGTGTCCCATTTACGCTTATGCTGGTTTGAGCCAAATCCCTCGTCATAATTCCCCTTAGAAATAAACAGTTGCTTGAAGTGGGGCAAGCAATATAGTTGGCTGTTGTTTAGAGTGTATGAATCCATTCTGAAACATTATTTAGAAAGGAAAATAATTAATTATATCTCATTTATTTTCTTTAAGTCACATTACTTTTTATAGCTTTAATTTATTAATCTCCCATTCATTTAATCTAATAAAGATTTAACTGTTAATTGTTACAAGGTTTGATTTTATTTCAATTTGATCTATGTACAGTAGCAGACCAATTTGGCTGAGTGAGGGTGTCGACTCGTATTTACCATGCAAGCAGTTCCATGTTTGAAAACTGGCACAGCCCCATAGAATTTTAACTGAGAGTTTAGAAAAAGTATTGAAAAGTAGTTCTGACCCCTCATCCTCAATACAATGGATAGGTAGACATTAACTCCTCATGACAGGTATTACTTTTACTTTATACACTCAAAGACACAAAAAAACAATATGTTTATTTATTTATTTTCCATAAGAACTAAGTATAAAGATTTAAAAGTTGACATAAAATCTAAACATAACAATTAATTAAGGTTTTTAGTTGAGATAAAAAAGTCAATGGCATGAGCGGGATTCGAACCCACGATCGTTGGCTAGAAACGCCGCTACTCTACCACTTGAGCTATCGTGACTTCGATCCAATCGGACACCAGCTTCCCATCTCAACCCCACCTTTTGAATTTTCCCTCCTTTTTGCTATTTTTCAACTTTTTTATTTCAACTAAAAACCTTAATTAATTGTAATATATTAATTGGTCAAGCGAACCACAAAATTAGTGAATTTAATGAACTAAAATGAAGTATACTTCACTAAAGCTCTCCGTGGCCATTTCTTTGTCGCCGAGAATCCAATCCGATTACACGACATTTGAAAAATGGTAAAAAGGAGGGAAAATTCAAAAGGTGTGGTTGAGATGAGAAGTTAGTGTCCAAGTGGATTGAAGTCACGACAGCTCAAGTGGTAGAGCAGCGGCGTATCTAGCCGAAGATCGTGTGTTCGAATCCCGCTCGTAACACTGACTTTTTTATCTCAACTAAAAACCTTAATTAATTGTAATGTATTAATTGGTCAAGCAGACCATGAAATTAGTGAATCTAAACATAACATTACTAACTTGTAATGTAGAGCTTTTTTCACTCTTTACATTAAAAATAAAGAAAATCTGTCCAATTTCACCCTGTCCAGAACCACCATGTCGAAGCGAGAATTGGTTTTGTAAATTCTTTTCTTGGTTGAAACAATAAATTTGAGTTTAAAATCATAGTTTTAAATCAAGATGAAGATGCTTTGGCCAAGTATGGATAATGTCTGTTACATAGTCCAAGCCCTGGGTATTGCTCTACTATCCACGATGGTCTACCGCGGCTTAGAGCAGGTAGTGGTCAATCGAACGATTGTCATACAGAATGGTTTATTGAGTAAGTTCTTTTGGAAGTCCGTAATCCCGTTCTCTCCATTTGTTGGAGACAACTTGTTCTTAATGCATAATAATGCTTGACATAGCTCGAGTTGTCACCCATTTCTTAGAGTAAGTTGGGATTACTATAATGAACTGGCCAGCAAGTTCTCCTGACATGAACCCCATATACTTATGGAACACGATAAAGAGATGGATTAGAATTGTTTGCCACCTCCAGCAAGCTTTGAACAGCTTCTAACCGCTCTTGTTGAAATGAGATTTGTTTCACAAGACAAAATTCAATCGCTTATTTATTCAATGCCTCTAAGACCTGAGCGGTAAGAGCCAGTCAATCACAAAGCCAATGTCCTCACTCTTTAAATTTGCCATCTTCAGCTTTCACAATATCGTACGACGCTGAAGTAGGATCAGATGCATATCTTATGGCACATGTCACAATTGTACAGGTGTGAATTAACTTTGTCGTTTGTATTTTTGTAGGCTTGAGCGTTGCCTATCTGACAAGATAATTAAATTCACTAATTTCGTGGTCCACTTGACCAATTAATATATTATAATTAATTAAGGTTTTAGTTGAGATAAAAATGTTGAAAAATGTAGTTGAAAAATGGCAAAAAGGAGAAAAAATTCCAAAGGTGGGGTTGAGATGGGAAGTTAGTGTCTGAGTGGATCAAAGTCACGATAGCTCAAGTGGTAGAGCAGCGGCGTATCTAGCCAAAGATCGTGGGTTCGAATCCCGCTCATGCCATTGACTTTTTTATCTCAACTAAAAACCTTAATTAATTACAAGATAATTATCATATATAGCTTATGGTGTGAACCCTACCGAAGAGACAAGTAATACAAGTTATTAAAAGCAAAACTAGGTAATTGTAAGTTAAATTTTAAAATATTTCTAAATAATTTTCCCCTATTTTGGCAAATTTTCTTTCAAATCATCATAATTAAATAATTTTTAGTAAATTCACTATTTTTCGTGGTCCGCTTGACCAATTAAAAACATTCAATTAATTAAGGTTTTAAGTTGAGATAAAAAAGCCAGTGTCACAAGCGGGATTCGAACGACTCTACTCGAAGTCATGATTGCTCAAGCGGTAGAGTAGCGGCGTATCAAGCCAAAGGTCGTGGGTTCGAATCCCGCTCGTGACACTGGCTTTTTTATCTCAACTTAAAACTTTAATTAATTAATTTTTAATAAAATTCATGAATTTTTGATCTTGTTTAATTTGGTTTACATTAAAATAAAATTGTTGTAATTAATATAACAATAAAAATGCATATAGTTTGAAATATTATATAGACCATTTTTTTGTCTTTGAGTGTATATTGTTGTTTTTTTATTTTTTTTTATATATTTTTTTTTTTAACTGTTAATAATATATTTACCTCAATATGCAGTTGCAGTACGTACACCGGAAACATTGCTTATGGAAAATTTTCCCATTAGTTTCAATTTTCTCTAACGGGTAGACCTTACTATCACACAAAGCACAGAGGGACGGTGGCGCGACAGGAGATTCCTGAAATTGATTGGAGAAAAAAAAATTAGATAAATTGAATTACTCGGTTTTCTTTTTTTAATCTAACTCCTATCTCCTTAACACAACTTACCAAAGATGTACACAAATTGTAAATGTCAAAATAGGAATAAACAAACAGGAAAGAGGTTCAAATGAGACAGTACAAGCAATAAAAATCACAAGAGTAATAAAACTTTATTTATCATATTCTTGCAATTCCATTACAAAATAACAGAATTAGACTAGATATAATTTAGCAATTTAACATCTGTTTCATAATTAGGAAGCACCTAAAAAATGGAAAACTTGGTTTAACATTAAAAGTTATAATTTTACTCTTCAATAGTCCTGGAAAACTAAACATTTATTTTTGTTTAGAGTCAGAAATTATGGAATAACCAGTGGCTGAGTCCATTTGAAAGTCTCTTTACTGAAACAGAAATAATATAGACATTATTATTTTTAAAGAATGGTTTTTATCATATCGTTTATTATGGAGAATAAATTAATTTTTGTAAATGCAAACAATTCTCAAGTGTGGACATTATTGATCATTTTGTTCTTCCTACCATCACTGGATTGTCTGGATATGCAATAAATTCATCTGGAGACAAATTGAACATAGAACAAATGCAGAAATACATCTGGCATCAACCCGGCAAGAATAGGCTGAGAAAATGATCGGTATCGGCCAAATTTCAAGTTCAGACATGTCGAAATCTCATAATTCCATAGTCAATGTATCCTCACTATTTCAGTCTGTCAGCAACACTTGAACGTTATTGAAGATGTCGAGAAGCCAAGATGTATCTAACAGGCCAAAAATAGTGAGGATAGGCAGAACAAAATGATCAGAAATGAACAAACTGCATGTTTGACCAATTGCAATTTCGTTTAAATAAATTTAAAAAATTTATTTTACTGCACAAAAATTTCATTAATTACGAACAAATGATTTTTAATTTTTTTTTTAAGGTCGTAGTAAATTGATTCTTTCCCACGAAAAAAATTAATTAATTAAATAAAATTTTACCTGAATACTTTTTCAAGTAAATCATATCTCAATTCTGTCAATATTTCAAATATTTAAAACAATTTCATTATAATAAAATATACATGATGCAATTATTTAGCTTAATCTATTGAAATTGGACTATAATGTTTGAATTAACACAAAAAAAATTTACAAAAGGGTGTTAAAAAATTAATAGATGTTCATTCTTCATTATTTTCTACATTTTTAAAGAAAATTCCCACCACTATGTAGCAACTATAGTGCAGAACTCCTAGCGATAAACAAATGTCTAAACATAATAGCTTTGACAAGAAATCATCTGATCCTTCTTTGTACTGATTCCCTTTCAGCAGTATATGCCTTAAAAGATATTTTCAGCCTGAACCCCCTCGTACATGAAATTCACTCTGCCATAAAGGACTTTTACCGCAAAAATTTACAAGTCACTGTCATGTGGATACCAGGACACTGCGGGATAACCGGAAATGTTGAGGCAGACAAAGCGGCAAGAAGTGCCCAGAGAGAAGGTCATAAAATAAGTGAGGTGCCGCAAGAAGACTTCGTTACACATGTGAAAGCCAAAACCAAAGAAAAATGGCAACTAGAATGGTTCAATACTAGGGAAAACAAACTTAGAGCCGTTAAAGCGGATATAAGACTATGGACCACCTCAGCTAGACTGTCTAGAAAAGAAGAATGTGTACTTGCGAGACTCAGGATAGGGCATACACGAATAACACACGGGTATTTAATGGCACGCGAACCTCCACCTATGTGCGTGACATGTGGAGTTTTAACCACAGTCAAGCACATACTGTTAGAATGTAAGATGTACAGAAGGGCACGCATGAGCAGTGAGTTGCCCGCCTCTCTACCCGAATTGCTAAATGACAGAGAAACAACAGTATCAAGATTATTTAAATTTTTGAGGGAAACAGAATTGTTTGGTAAAATCTGATTTGTGAAGTGAAATATAGAGATGGGACCTGTGGCTGGTGGCGGGAGCTCGGGTGTGGTGCCGGTGGCGGTGGTGGCCGGGGTGTGTGTGTGCAAGAGAATGCAACAACCCAATGCAAGAGAATGCTTCCCATATGCCCCCTGTGTCCCCCCGTGCTGCCTGGCTCCTCGGTCGGGCGTCTGCTTCCCCCGCAGGCCGCACTCAGGACAGATTCAAGGCAAATATAACCCTAATTGTGGTTGCTGCCTATAAAAAAAAAAAAAAAAAAAAAAAAAAAAAAAAAAAAATTCCAGTATATTTGTAGTAGTAGATTTTTTTCTTTTTTTTTAACAAATGAGGTATAATTTACTTATTAATTACTGTAAAATTTATTTAACTGTAATACTAAAACAAAAGAAAAACAAACAAAATCTTACCTTTTTGTTAATGTTGAACACATGCAGGATGCCATGCTCGATCTCAGTATACTGATTATTTTGTTAAAACTGTTATTCACATTTCTAGAATTTTTAGTTACAAGCGCACACTTTTTATAAAAGTCAAACAATGTAGAACGGGTGCATGGGCACATTTAAAACTGTAAATTCCGTGCCATATCAAAACAGAACATGTTCATCAATCTACAATCGTGTCCTCGAGGATCGGAAACATGCTTAAGCCATTCTTCCATTCTCACAACACATGCAGCTCAGTTTTAAATTCGATAGATTTAAAAATTATTTCTCGTGGCTCGTCCGACGAGAAATATAAAACGGTATGAGAAGTCCAAACATTTTGATGTTTGCTCTCAGCTTCGAATGAGAAGTACATCAAGGTTTCGATTAGCTTAATTCTTAGAAGGGAAATTAGGAAAGGAAATGATAATTAAAAAAAAAAAGACTTAAAAGGAACCCCAGTTTTAAAATAAATAGATAAATAGATGCACTTATGGAAACAAAATTTTATGATAAACGGCGTATTCAACAGTCAGTCTAAATTAAGGACAAAATTTTGACATCACACTGATTAAATTAAAGATAATGATATGCCCCAATAAAACCACGAATTTTCTTATATAAAAGAGCCAACCTTATACAATTTAAAATTAACCAATGTTGATTGAATTAGAATTTGCATGTATAAACAATATTTAAAAAAAAATTGTCAAATTTTTTGGAAGAAGTAAAGTGTTTAAAAATAAATTGTAAAATAATATATCTCAAATCTTACTTAGATTGTCTACTGGTTTAAATATTTTTAATATAATATCAGTAATAACATATTAACAGTAGTATGAATCATCTATGTAAAAAAAAATCAAAATTCCATTCAATCAGCAACTCACAGCAATGTTATCAAAAGCGTAAGCCCTGTATAAAATCTAACACTAATTGATAATAAATATATTTAAAAACTAAAATTAAAAATAGGACTGATAGGAAAGGAATTGAGGAAAAAAAAGGAATACAAATAATCAAAATGAAAGAAAAAAACAAATTTTAAAACAAAACTTTCACACAGTTGTAGCAAACCGTTTTTTAAAACTGTATAAATACTTATTGTCCGAGATCTGCGGCCTTGAGCGTGGCCGCGACTTGAGCAATTTGCTGGGTTATATAGATTGAGTGAGAGGCCTTTCTACGGCGGCTTCGTTTAGATCGCTGCCAAAAACATATCCCAAACATCTTTCAGTCAACATAATTATAGCACGGGAAACTAATTCATTTATAGCCTGTGTCATTATGTAAATCTGAAATGATCAAAACGTCTGCGGATCTTTTACATACAGCACGGATGAGGTTAATCTTTTTGTTAGTGGAAAAGTGAGGGGAAAAAATTTAAGAAAAAAGAATTGTTCTCAATTGGATTCCTTCCATATATGTGGCCTTGTACCTATGTGACTTGTAGATTCTTAAGACTACATTAAAAAAACCTTAATCTGATTTTGCAAATTATTCAGATTTCAAGCATTAAATGCAAAATCATCTGCCTTTTGTACAAATAAAACAAAAACGAGCACTCGATTTTTTTGTAGAAATGTGTTTTCAATCAATTTTCAAGAGTTCTTCATAATGCGGTGTCTTTTTTTTGTGTTATGAGTTTTCTTTTTGTTTTAAAGAAAATTGTTTTTATGCTTCCAGTTTATAAATTAAAATTAGTGAAACAATTCCTGCCAGTACAACAAATAAACTCAAAAAAGTAAAATATGTGCAATTTATAAGGCTCGCATGGCTTCCTAAAATGATTAATTAATATTAATTTGGTTTGGAAAATTTGGAAAACTCTAAAATATTGACTGTTACGGAAATCTATTATTTTGGATATGGACTTATTTTTTTTTTAAATTCTTTAATTGTAACAATTATGTGAATAATAAAAAAATTATTGTTTTAGCAATCGACAAACGTTTTCACTACAGAGTTACAAATTGAATGACAATCAATATTTTACAGTTAACTGTTTCTGTCTTTTTACACTCATTAAGATCCATCACATATCCAAAATAAATTAATTCCTTAATTTAAGAGGCCATTGAGCCTTACAAATTACACATATATGTGAATTTTGTGCATATCGAGGAATTTGGGAACCTCAGTAGCTGAGAAGTCACGGAATCTGACTAGTATTTGCCATGCTAAGGTCCTGGGTTCAAATCCTGGCATAGCACATATATTTTTAACAAATAATATGAAAAAAGTACGACAAGAATTTACTTATCAACTTAACTTTTACTTCCACTATTTTTCATGGTCCGCTTGACCAATTAATAACATTCAATTAATTAAGGTTTTTAAGTCGAGATAAAAAGTCAGTGTCAGTATGGCAAGAAAAATGGCAAAAAGGAGGGAAAATTCAAAAGGTGGGGTTGAGATGGGAAGTTAGTGCCCGAGGGGATCGAAATCACGATAGCTCAAGTGGTAGAGTAGCGGCGTATCAAGCCGAAGGTCGTGGGTTCGTATCCCGCTCGTGACACTGACTTTTTATCTCAACTTAAAAACCTTAATTAATTTAATTTTTACTTATCAAGGAATTCTTTTGTAATGATTCTCTTTGAAGTTGTGTGTGCATTTTATGATCTTTCTATTTAGTCATTCTGCTTCTATTTCTATTAATTTGAGAACCACAATTTTCTAATCCGGTGACTAAAGAAACAAATCTAATTTTTACATACAGAATGCAAAGTTACTCAAGGCAGACAATGAGATGAAATTAAATAAAAACTGATGTTTGGAATTATTAGCTGAAATGTAAAAATTCTAGTTTTCAATACAAAAAGAATAAGCGAGGATGTACTGAGAGATAAGTGTAGTCTAATTTTCAAATGTAATTTTTTAAATTCAAGCTAACAAGTCTAAAACAACGAAACAGTCAGCTTACAAAACTAAAACCAAAAAAGGTTCACACAAACAAAACAAAACTAATAAGGGTTGCAAAATGATAAAACAAAAAAAAATGAAAATGTGCAAAGGCAACTTAGTACTAAATGCGATAAATGCTCAAACGCAGAATTGCGTAACTAGTAAGCTGTCTGTTTCTGCAAAAGCCATTCACACATCCAAACAATTCATGACATTGTAAACCATAACACATTTTTCTCTAAAGTGAAGTTTCAAATTTTTTTTAAATATCACGTACAAATTTTTTCAGTTGATTCATCTGGAATAAATCCTGTACTGATATTTCTTGAACATGTACAGAAAATAAACGGTTCAATACGACCAACAGGCAATCCTATGGCATGCCTTTGTTCATGTTTGCTTGCCACAATCGGTTAAAACAAACCAGAAAAAACACAATGATTTAAACCCAAATCATGATTAAAATACCTTTTGTTCATTTTATCAACTAATTCTCTACTGAAAACAATTCATTGTCATCATTTTCTAAACCTTGTTCAGGGATAAGAGAATATGAACCCACATCGACTTTTGTACGAAACTGAAAAATTCAATTTTTGTATCATAAAATTTATGTAGATTTTATGATAAGGGAGCCTTGTTTTATATAAAAACTATTTATGTCAAATTTTGTAAAAATTTAATTTCAAAATGTTCTAAAAACTATGAGTTCAAATACCCAGCTGATTCTTTGTCTGTTGTGATTTGTTTACAATGTCATTAGTAAATGTAATTTTTTTGTAAGATGAAATAATAGTAATAAAACAAATTTTATTTACCACAAATCTATTGACTTTGGGCCTGCTCTTCTCTTTCGGCTGTTCGCTCTTGAGGGATTCAAATTTCGCTCTTAAGGACTTTGTCGAATCGATACTGGCATGTTCCGAATCAAGCATAGTAATCGCATTGTTGTTTGATTGCTTCTCAGGTTCCCAGGATTCAAACTTAGCAGCAAGTTGCTTGGCCCTTGCGGCATTCCTCGCCTAATAAAAATTATGACGATTATTTAAAAATATTTCGATGAAATGAAACACTCGTTACCTGTTCGAGGAATTCATCTTTTACTTTGTAAGAAGACTTGACAACACCGTCTTCCCTTTCGCTTTCATCTTCCTCCTCTTCTTCCTCGTCCTCTTCACCGTCGTCTTCCTCGCTTTCCTCTGAGCTTCCGCTTCCCTTATAATCTGGCGGTGGTGTGAAACATTTCTTCGGCTTAGGTCCTTTGGATACGAAAACAATCAGTAATTAACTAAGCCTCGCAAAGCTACTTTTTTTTTTTTTTAATTGTTGAATACCATCAGGGACGACTTCTTTCTGCTCCTCCATCTGTCTGAACATTGAGAGCATTCTGCTGGCAGTTTGGCTCTTCTTTACGGTTTGTTCGTCATCAACTTTGTCATCGCACCTCACCACATCAGGGTCGCGATAAACTTCCCTTTCTGGTGATTCAGTCTAAAATTTAATTGAAATTAGTGTTTTAAATTTTTTAATGATTAAGCATTTAAAAAAGAGCTAAGTATTAAAAAAACATGAATGCAATTTTATTAGTTGGTTTGAAAGCAGCTAGAAACAGAAATAAATTTTTTATGAAGCTCAAAATAAAGATTAAAAAAATAAAAAACAAATTGAAGCATAGTATGATTGTTTCTAATTCCCTTAATAACTAAAATTTTACATTTTATCAGTGTAATCCATCAAAAAAATGAAAATTTTTTTGAAACCCGCTAACCTCTCATTGAAGGTCAGATTAACCTAACTTTTTTTAAATAACCAATTATCTCGAGTTCTCAAATAAAAACTAATTCTTTACATAATTGTCTTGAACGGAAGCATTTTTAATTGCTTGTGTTCATTCTTTCAAAGTTTAAAATTCTAACATGATTAAAAAATACATTTTATAGGAGGTAGAATATTTATTTAAGTCCAATAGCATTAAAAAAATATCTTTCAATTAATTAAGGTTTTTAGTTGAGATAAAAAAAGTCAGTGTCACGAGCGGGATTCGAACCCACGACCTTCGGCTAGCCACTTGAGCTACCGTGACTTCGATCCACTCAGACACAAACTTCCCATCTCAACCCCACATTTTGAATTGTCCCTCCTTTTTGCCATTTTTCAGTGGAAAGAGGTCACGACAGCTCAAGTAGTAGAGCAGCGTGTCTAGCCGAAGGTCGTGGGTTTGAATACCGCTCATGACATTGACTTTTTCATCTCAACTAAAAACCTTAATTAATTGAAAAATATTAATTGGTCAAGCGGGTCACAAAACTAGGGAATTAAAAAAATAATAAAAATAATAATTTACATATGTCTCTACATTAATGTTAATGTTTATGTTATTTTCATAGTCATTGTTTGTCATGAAAAAATATAACCGTTGTAAATACCCTGAAGGACTTTTTTGTAACAACATAAATTCGACGAGTTTTTAAATAACTCATTTCCAGAAATAAATCAATTAAAACTTGAGCTTTTGGGTATTATATAATAATCAGGGCTGGACAAACAATGAATATGAAAAAAAAGGCATCCATAAAACTTTTAATATTATTTCAGGAAAAAATAATTTCATATATAAATATAATTTGTATGCTGGTCAATATAATCATCCTAAACCATCCACATATCCATTGAAAAACTTATCCATTCTTGTCTGCTTGTTGTTTTTATGAGAAATATTAAGTTGTATAATTAATATAAAAAAAATTATCATAATAACCTCATGTTCTATCATAAATCACTTATTATTAGGATGTATGTATACTTGTACTTTATGTGTATTTACTCTAATGTTTGCCACACAATGGATATGTGTTTTAAAATGAGTACTTAAGTAAATTTAAAAACGTTGTAGGACTCAAAATATATTTTTAAAAATGTATATAAACAAGAAAAAAAGAGAAACTAGTCATTAATAGACATTCCTATATATTAACGACAATTACTTTCTACTAAGGAGGTTGTGAGGCTTTAGCCATCATGCAAGATTACACGAAATGGTGTGGGATAAAAGATTTCCTACGTGAGTGATTCTGTGACAGGTTATATTACGCAGGGTGGGCGACCAAGACCCGAGGGGTTAAATGCCTGGGTAGACTCGTACCCCATTCTGTGACTGGTTAATTGTTTGTGAAAATTCTTGAAACTGTTTTTCACTACTTCAAGATATTAAGGTCATTGTGAATGCTGAAATTGGATGGATTGGCAGGAAAATAGTCAATGGTTTGGATGATTTTGGATGGAAAGGAGTGGTTACATTGGCGGGATGTTTTGTTGAGCCCTACAATTCGATGCTGTATACCAAAATGGGTCTCAAAACAGAATATAAATGAGTTGTTTGATTTGTAGTCAGTTTGGGTCATTTGTCCAGCTATCTTTTTGGTCTGAAGCATCTGTTTAGTTTTTGTCTTTTAAGTCGTGTTTGTGCATTCCATGAAAGTCATTTCTCAACTTTTATCCCAACGTAGCAGTGGAAGAGAGATACTATTGAAGTAGATGGGAAGTTATTTGACCGCGTAAAACCTTGAATTTGAGGGATTGCAAGTTTCTGCTTAGGATGAGAGCAAAAGATGGCAGTATCATCTGCATAGGTTATGAGGGACGTTTGTTTCAGGAAGGGTAAGAATGTCTAGGTGTATAACACATAGAGGATGGGTCCTAAGATGCTTCCTTGTAGAACCCTTACATCTCTACAATACCCGGCTGATAAGGAGGGGCCACTGATAAAATATCTGCTGGTTAGGTAGGATTTTAGAATCAGGTAGTATGTAAAAGAGTGGACTCTCTTACGCTTCCAGAGCCCTTATCAAGGCTTACTTCACATCTAGGAATACTCTGGAGCAGCACTCCTACTGTTCAAGAGTGGCAACTTTTTAAATATGGATTTAATCCTTTCCTCCTTTATTTATTTAATTTTAATTTTATATACATTTTTAAATTTTTTGAAAATACATCTCTGTATTTTAATAGAATGTTTATCTGTCAATTTATTCATTTAATTGAATTGTTTAACAAGGGAAAAAGTAAATGTTTATATTTGTTATTGGGCAAATAAATCTTTAGGAAGATTATCTTTTGTATTAATTTTACGCTGTTATTATTTAGTATTAACTTAATCCTTATATGTTTAGCAGTCATAATTGACCATATTAATTATTTCAATTAATAATTATTTTTATCTAAGGTCTTGGTAAGGATGAAAAAGTGTCACGAGCAGGATTCAAACCCGAAGCCGAAAGTCATGGGTTCGAATCCCGCTTGTGACACTAACTTTTTCATCTTAACCAAGACTTTAAATAAAAAGAATAATGTATAAACATTTAAACTATCTAATCTTTCCTTCCAGTGAAACTACTTGTGAAAATACTCAAGAAATTGATACAGCAAATTGTATGACAACTAAAAATTAGTTTTTGAAGTCACCGAATCACTGGGCAATTTTGGTTTTTACATTAATCGAAAATGTAATAAATGTGGAAAAAAAAGAAAAAAAATCCTACCAACATAATTGATAATACTGAGTCCATTATAACACACACTTAAAATAACAAAACTCTTCGAACAAGAAAAAAACAAATAAATACATGCAAGAAGAAAACAAAATTTAGATCATATGAAAAGCACAACCAGTTGTGTTAATTTTCAAGACAACACACTATGGTGTTAATTAAAATTATTTTTCAAACAATCATCCGAAAGACCTTGACTTGTCCTTCTCTCGGAGGAGTTATTCTGAAAGCCTTTCTCTCTTTCTCCTTTGGCTTGTAAGTCTCAAAGAATTTGAATTTCGATGAAATGTCAGCAGTTTCGACGGTGGCATCCTCAACGACATCGCTCGATTTGACAACATCTTCAGAAGCTTGTCTTGAATAATACACCTTGGGGCGATAATTTGTGCTTTAAATATTTCTCTTACGTTTTAAATCAAAAGGTTGCATGCTTTTTTTAATGGGAAAACTAAGGGAAAAGTTGAAAAAGCTCCCATTTAAAAAGACGATGAAAAAAATGAAAATTATTCTCGTTTAAATTTTCTTATATTTGAAGGGTTTACTATTAAGTGACTTTATAAAGTAAAAGTTCATTGATATTGCCCATTATCCATTTTAAATTATTTCTTTAAATTCAATGATCATATTATCATAGTAGTTGTCACATTTACCAGGTATGAAATGTTTAGAATAAATTTAGAACATTAAAATAATAATTGAATTTTTTTGAGAAATCGATCCCGCCATAAAATAAAATTATTAAAGTAAAGTAGATCAATAAATAGCATTACAAAACTAGAAAATAAAACAAGAATAATTTTCAAGTTCTATTGATTTTCAAGTTTTTATATATTTTTTAAATATTTTGTTTATGAGGCGAAAGTCAGTTAGTATTCACAACTAACCTCCCTTGCCATTTTGGTCTTTGTTTCCTTTCGTGGTGGCTGGACAATATTACTAACAGCCTGCGACTTTACAGCTTTCGCATCCATTTGAAGGAATATACTTCTTGATTTCTTCGAGATTCCTTCTTCGAAGACACTCATATCTTCCTCCACCTATATATGGTTTTATTATTAGAAACAAATCTTAACTTGTATATGGAAGGTCTTCAAAAAACACTTTTTCGGGTTTTTTCTCTCTTGAGCCTACATTAACTATTTAAGAAATTGTTAACAGTCATCGTAAGGTATATTTAAGTTTTGAAATAAAGTTTTTTGTTCAAGGAAATAAAAGTCTTACCTTCTTTCCTTTGTTATCTTCTTCATCATCAGAACGGACTGGTTCTCCTTTTTCAAATTTCTCTCGTACAACCTTGGCCTTTTCACTACGAACAATATCGTTTTCTAGGCTTTTCGCTGGCTTTCCTTCGCTCTCAGCAACAGCCTGCTCATAAAGCTCTTTCATTTTAACCTGTTTGCCCTGTTGAGAGAGTTAAAAAAATAATACATAGCTATTTCATAAATTATTGTAACTATTTATGACAATTACCATGAACATCCTTGATCTGAGAGCTTGCAGTTCTTCTTTCTTCTGTTCTCGCATCATTTCTCTTCTTGTTGCTTGGTCATGCTGACTCTCCCAACTTTTCTTCACGTCATCAATTTTTCCAAAACTCATTGGCCTCTCTTTGGCCTTTCGCCTGCACTTGATGATTCCTGTATCTTCTTCATCATCTTCTGAAAAAAATAAATGTACATTTTAGTTTATTTTTATAAATTAGAGAAAAAAAATCCTTTAAAGAATCAAAACCAACCATCTTCGTCTTCCTCGCTGGATGATGAAGATTCGCAGATAAATCCGTTGGAAAGCGCGTCATCTGTCACGCCCACATCCATCCCTTTCTTTTGAAATCTACAAAGGATGAAATTCCAAATTACAACTTTCTTTTCGAACAATTACAAATAGAAATAAAGTTTAAACCGCTCACTTGGCAAGCTTGCTCAAAATGCTCGATGATCTCTTAACGCTAACAGTTGTGGGCGATTTTTCAATTTCGCCATCTGTATTGTCTTGTTTCTCAAATACTTGAAACCTTGATTTTACATTCAAAGAGCTGAGCTCGTCCAAACCGAGGTCTGGCTTATCGCTTGCTAAAATTGGGAAAAAAAATGTTAGTTATTTACTCATTATTCATTCTTTTAAGTAAATTTTGAAAACGGTAAGTATTTCCTAAGTACCACCATACAAAAATTATTCAATTATATGCTAGCAATTAATTATATTGCAAAAAAGTTTTATATTAAAAGAAATTTAAGAATACAACTTAATTGGCAAAGAAAATTCATGATTAAGTAAGCAATTTAAAAAATAAAATTAATAATAAAATTTTATTTTAAAGTCGTTGTATAGCGGGACAGAGAGTGCTGTGTGGTGTAGGGGAGAGGTCACAAGCACCTTTAAAATTAGAGTAGGTGTAAGGCAGGGCTGTCTGCTTTCCCCTCTTCTGTTCTCGCTGTTCATTAACGATTTACCCGAGTTTTGGGTGGCGGTCTGTTTGTCGGAGCATCAAATGTAAACTGTTTAATGTATGCAGATAATGTGGTTTTGGTGAGTACTGAACCGGTTCAACTTCAAAAGATGTTAAACAGGTTGGGAGAATGCTGCCGAATGTGGAATTTGTCAGTAAATTTGAATAAAACTAAGATTATAGTGTTTAGAAATGGCGGAAGATCATCAAAGAATGAACGATGGTTTTTATAAAATGAAAGAATAGAGGTAGTAAAAGAGTACAAATATTTAGTAACGTTGACTCCTCTACTTTCCTTCAATACGCATTTGGCCAATAAACTTACGGTTGCTAAACAAGAATTCAATATAACCTGGAACGGTATTCTCAATAGAGGAGATGTTCCTCTAAAAAGTAAATTTAAAGTTTTTAATTCCGTCTCTAGGCTGTAATGTGTTATGCGTCACAAGTATGGGGCTACCATCAGTATGAAGTGGTAGAAAAACTTCTTTGTTTTTTTTATTAAGAAGTTGTTTGGCGCTCCCTATTATACACCAAGTTATTTTCTTTATTTGGAATTAGGCTTAAGACCTTTGTTTGTGTATATGTTGAGGAGTCATTTAAATTATATACAGCGGGTTTTGGGTCTGAAACAAGATTGTTTGCCCTACCTTCTTGCACAGGAGATAATAAAAAAAACATTTTTTGGTTTAAAGAATTGGAAGTGTTGTCTTCCGGACTGAACTGTAGTTCTCGTATAAATTTTACAAATGCGAAAGATTTCAAAATTTGGACAGTACAATTATTGCAGGCAGTAGAAACTCATCATAAAGAAGAATGTTTAAGAAAAGTGTAATGTTCTACATACCATTTAATATACAAGAAATTGAACTTGGTTCTTGGGGAAAGCAATTACTTGTATAAGGAATACAACTGGAATTTGATCAAGGTTGTTTTTCGCGCAAGAGGTCAATTATTATATTTAAATTTTAAGCCTTGGCTGGAGGAAAGAGACAAAGCATGTCATCTGTGACTAAAAACGGTGAAAGATTTGTTTCATTTTTTGGCAGTTTGTCCAACTTTGGAGAACGTTAGGTTAATTTGGTTCCACAGATGTCATTTGACATTCCACGGGTATATAGAACTGTTAAATGGGAAAGATTGGTTTAGTTTGTATAGATATATTATAGATGCACTGAATTGTAGAGATAATTTTATGGTAAGTTTATAATTTTTATGTTAATTTGTTTCATTTGAATGTAAATATGTAAGGGTCAACTGGCAGACGACTAGATCATGCCATTACAAGTATTATTTTGTTATTTTGTAAAAAAATGTAATATTTTGTTTTCTTTTCTAAATATACTTTTATTTATAAAAAAAAAAAAAAAAAAAAAAAAAAAATACAATTTTATTGAGAGGCTTGAATAGAATTTCATAAAAGAAAGTTTTTGAAAATAATTTTATTTAAATTTAAGTGTGAAGGAATAATGGGATTAAAAAATTAAAGAAAATAATCAATTTTTTTTTTACTGAAATGGCCCAAAATGGTTAGTCCATTTGACTTTTGAACCTGAAACGTCTTACTCATTTCCTTGATCGAAAGATTCAATTTTGGGACCAAATAACCAATTTTTTTGGTCACATAGTACCACCTGGCATTTTATTATGGACATTGCACAATTAGACATCTAACAGTAAATAACCAATTTAACAATGTATGAACAAATAACAAGAAAAAAGAAGACATTTCTGGTGCATCGTTAACATATTCGCTTTGAGCATAATGCGTATGAATATTCATAGGATTTCCACTTGAGTAGATAATGCTGTTAAAAGCTTTTAAAATAGTTATGAACAAATAATTCTGTTTAAAAGAGTTAATACAATACTCTTTTTTTGCGTACAAGTTTTTTTTTCTTCCGTGACCATCTTTAAAAGAGAGATTTTTCCTTGAGTTTGTATATTCAGGGTTAAGTGAAACTGAATAATTAGACGATGGGAATGTTTTTAATTGTTCCTGGGAGACAGAACCTCAGAAAACAAACTTTTCTTACTTTCTATCAATGCTCGAATGAACAATTGAAGACAATAAAAATACAAAGCCACGTGATAATTACTGAGAAGTAGAATGGAAAAAGTAAAATAATGGTCTATCGATGACTGTTTCAAATGGTAATATTATATACTATCATGTAATAACGTTCTGTCTTTGTTTTAAAAATTTACTTAAATTTTATCTCAATTTAAGAAAGCTTTTCATATTGCTTCCGATAGAATATAACAATAATGAATACTTACTTGTATTACAATTTTTAAAAAAGTTAATTCATCCGAATTAGTTAATTTAAATAAAACACTCCTTTATATTATTATTTTTTTGAAAATTGTTTAAACAAAAAACATGCAGTAGTATCATTTAATAAATAAAATATTCACAATAATATATACAGTCATGCTTAAAAGTTTCATTGCTTAAAAAAAAATTATTACCCAAAGCACTTTCAACTCCATCATTGAGTTGAACCATCCTGTTCGAATCCAGTGGAAAGACTGGCTTAAGAATGAAGACTCGTGGGATAACTGTGTCACTCATTTATCTTGTGTATGCAAGCGGAAAAGACTGCCAGTGTGTGAAACTCCCAGGGCCTTAATCTTGCACCAATTAAAAGCCCCCTCTTTTATTAATTAGGAGTTTTAAAAAAAGAAGGTAAATGACAGTTCTATAAAGAGAACGTCTATGAAAGTCTCTTTCGATTCATTAGTTCAGCGATTCAAAGAACGTTAACAAGACCCCTTCTCCAATAGCGCAAATTCCTATAGAGCAATTTTAATTGTGTACCGAGTTTGACTTGTATCGTGCAGTCATTAGGCCGTTAAGCCTTTTAATTAGTTCACCTAAGTAACTGTTTTCACGATAAAGTTTAAACACAGCTCATTTGTAAAATATTAAGAACATTTTCTTCTTGATTTCCATCTATTGCTTATTATATTCATTTTTACTTAATTATCTTTATGGTAGACCAAGGCAAATTTTGTTGTGAAACATGTTTTATCAAGAAATTAGCAATTGAAGAATTTTTTTTTTTTTTAAGAGAGAAGAACATATTTATGCTCCTGTACTGAAAATTCGCCTACATTTGGTAAACATTGGTTACAAAGACATTAGATTGTTTTCCTCGTGTTCTTTTTTTTACCCGTAGGAGGCCTGGTGATCTTTCTGATAGAACTTCTGGGACTTGATTTCTACTCATATTTAGCCACATGTGGTGAAATGGCTCTAAAACTGATGCACATTCATGCGTTTAAACTTACCTAACTTTAGGTCTGGTTAAGCCTAAACCTTCTGCTGAAGGCCCACCCACATTCATGCTAATAAATACAGTCATACTGATAGATGACCTTTCATAATATATGCACAATTAAAATTAGAAATGTACAAGGGTATTTAATATTATCACCTAGATTGATTGATATTAGGCCTAAAGCTAACCTAGTTTGGTGCATTTGTGGGACCACAAGCCCACCCAAATATACTCAACCGTTTATGCTAATAAATACATTCCTCTCAACACTCAAAGAAAAATCCTAACCTAGTTTGGTGCATATCTCAGACAGAAGGACAAAAAGAAAATTAAGGAACAATGGAATTCATTCATTGGACAGACAAGAATCTTCTAACCAATTTTGGTAGGAAAGAAATCACAGAATGTGTCAAAGGAAGCAGGATCAGACTGTGAATACTAACAGGACACTGCAGATTAAATGGACACTTAAAGAAAATTGGAACACTCCAAGATGGCACATGCAGATTCTGCAAGGAGGCAGAAGAGACACCAACACATTTACTAACAAACTGCAGAGCCACACTCAAGTCAAACAGCCCGCAGAGGAAATGTTTTGGGATGTATGTGACCATAGAAGAGCTTCAACCACTGAAACCGGGTCTATTAATCAAGTTTCTTGATGAAATAGGACTCACCGGTGTGTTTAGGCAGAGAACAGGGGATACTGTAACTCTTAAAGGGCGCAGTATAGTACACCCCGAATATTACATCTACATCTACATCTTGGTGAATCTGTGGGACCACAAGACCATCCACATATACTCAAACAATTATGCTAATAAATACATTTCTTCAATAACATAACACCCAAAGAAAAATCCTAACCTAGTTTGGTACATCTGTGGGACCCCAAGCCCACTCACATATACTCAACCATTTATGCTAATAAATACATTCCTTCAATAACATAACACTCAAAGAAAAATCCTTAGTTTGGTGCATCTGTGGGACCACAAGCCCACTCACATATACTCAACCATTTATGCTAATAAATACATTCATTCAGTAATATACACACAGAAAAATCCTAACCTAGTTTGGTGCATCTGTGGGACCCCAAGCCCACTCACATATACTCAACCATTTATGCTAATAAATTTCTTCAATAACATAATACTCAAAGAAAAATCCTTACCTAGTTTGGTGTGTCTGTGGGGTACTCTATATTCTGCCACAACCACCCCACACATACTCAACATTCATGATAATAAATAATATTTCAAACAGGAAAACCACGTGTGGGAAAGCATCAAATGCAACGATTTGCATTTATTTGTTTCAGATATTCGATCAAATTTTTGCTGCCCATCATTACTGTGTTTAGAACCTCTTTGAGACTCTCTAAGAAAGATCAAACATTGTTCTGGGTGGCGCCAATTTTGCCATCAAATGTATTTTGGTATTTCACTTAATTGGCATGGATGAATCAATCATCTGACTCATGATTCAGTCCCATTTTGGTTTTCTGGACTAGTGGCCTTTTTGCGATGACATTGAAATGCCATCTTGGGTTAACTATTTCCACGAGGCAAAATATTTTGCAAGAAGTGAAATGAGGTTTGCAGAACACAAGCCATTTATAACTATACCAACTGCTGTAACTGTGTTACTGCAGTAAAAACACGAAACACTTTGATTCGCACTAAATAACTCACAGTTGGCTCACCCAGAAACATTCTTGCCCAAAAGTTTTACAGCCCCAGCCAGGATCCACAACGCAAGACAAGTTTCACGAGCAATTTTCATGCAGTGGAAACGCAAGAATTTTTACCTTTTTGACCGATTCATTTTATTGATAAAAAAAATTTACTGAAGACCAAACTCCTTAATTCCAGAGACAACAGCACCCAGTACTACCAAAACTCATAATCCAATTGGTAATTATTAAGATACAACGAAGATTTTCATTCTTTCTTTTTACTTCCTCTTAAATCTTTATTTTAAATAATTAACAAATAATTTTTTTAAGGACAACATCTACATGTTTCTTAAAATTGTGTAACATCCCCCTAGCACCGATTGTACACAAGTGAGCATGTATCTTAAAAGGTGTGAAGTGCTTCAGGTGTTTTACTTACTCTCAAAAACATTAATGAACCACCATGCAATTTTTGTCATTTTGCACACAATTCTCCGTTAAAATTGAAAAAAAAAAAAAAGGACAAGAGGTGTGAGTTTGCTTTACAAAATAAAGTCTTCGTACTTTGCTACATGCAAACACCTCTTTAGTCGAAACTTTGCCTGTTAGACCAAAGCTAGTGGATATTAAAATTAAAATCGGGCTTAAATTAACCACACTTTGTTAATTTTCAAATCAGAATTAGTTTTTGCATGATTTTTTTTTATGCAAGGAAGTGGGAGATTTTAGTGCCTCTTGTGACAAGTACCTCTAACAACATCAGGGGGCAATTCCAACGGTTGGTTCTCCCTTATTATCATTTCAGGTTTACGACGTCTCACTAGAGAAGAAAAGAAAAATTTAAGAGAACTTTGATTTTGTAAATTTTGAAATTTACTTTTAATCCTTGCATATATTAATTTCTTTAAAATCTCGTTCCCTTGACTAATTATGATATAATTTTAAAATTTATTACATGCTATTTTTATTAAATCCAATACCTGGTTCTTCATCTTCAATTACTGCCTTGGGCTTGAAGAGTTCTTTAAAGTGGGGCTTGCAATATAAAGTTCCCTCATGGCTGCTATATATGTCCATGCTGTAATTTTGAACGGGCCAAATGAAAAATTAGAAACATGATAAAAGCGAGTCTTGTAGGATTTAAATAACATGAAACATACGTGAGCTGTTTGTTGCAAGTTTGGCATCTGAAGCAGTTTTTGTGCCAAACGGCTTTTTCTGCTTTGACCTGTTCCATGGCGAAAACAGTTTTCCCACAGGACTTGCATGTTGATGATGTCTGGCTGTCTGATCCCTGTGCAAGTACAATAATAATAAAATGAACTTTTTTTTAGATTAAAAATAGCAAACGGGAAGCTTTTATAAATAGCTGCTTTTATTTACAATAAGCACACAATAAAAGTTTATATTTCTTTATATTTCAACACAAACAGCAATACAAAAAACAGCACAAAAAACATCAAGTGTTAATTTTTAAACTGTTACAAATTAATGACTGATCGATATTCACCTGACTGAAAGTTTTTGAGGCTTTAGCTGGATCAGAAGATCTGACATGGAGCACTTTCTTGCTCAACTGATCAAATTTGCTAAAACTCGATTTCTACAAAACAAACAACAAAACCAAAACCACATTAATTATTATACAAATGAACAACATTTATGAAACATAAATTTGTGATTTTGTAAAAGTGGATTTTATAGTCAAGTGAAGTATTGCAAAATATAAAAGTCCTAAAAAGCAAAGCTGCGAAGCATTTACGAAAATTTACTTTTTATTGTGTGTATTAGAAACTGTGCTGGTTTTTTATTTTTATAATTCAAAAAGTGTTTCTATGATGGCAAAGCATAAGTGAAATAATTCATTTAAATCTAACTATATTACATGTTTTTAATTAATTTTACTTCAATGGTAAAGTTACATGAATTTGCTTGTGATTAAAAAAAAATGTGTTTAGAACAAAATTACGTTGTAACATACAATGTCATTTAATAAACATATAACATGTAAAACGTAAAATATATCTGTACATTCATACGTGAAAATATACCACCCTACTGCACAACCACCGCAAACGTTTGTATGTGCAAGTGTGGTAAAGCAAACATACAGAGTACTTACGTCTAGACGGCCAATCCGTTTATTTCCATGATCATTCAAATTGTTCTCGATAGAAACTGTCCTCCAGTACGTAGCTGCCTACATGCATTTTTGGTTAAAGCAACATGCATAAAATCCAGAATGTTATTAGGAATATAAATTATTCAATGGTTTAATCGATAAATAACATTAATTTGGAATCAAATTGAAAAATTGATATTCAAGAAATAATTACTGAGTTTTTAGAAACAAAAAAGTAACAGGATATAAAAGCAGTTTCAAACAAAATTTCTTGTAATCAGCACTATCTAATTTCTAAGAAAACTTATTCATAAAAGTAAAAAATTTGATTAGAATAATCAATAAAGCTGTTCAGTATAATTATAATTGTAAAATATTACTGCTATGCAGGATGAGTTTAATTTCTATTCCCCTTATATATTTTTATTGGGGCATAAACCCTGAGATGCATAAACTTTTTTTTAGACTATTAAGCATAAAAAGTTACGATGTAACTCTTCAGGATAGCAGAATATGAATAAGAGCTTAACTATTAACAATGCCAACTACTCATTAATCCATATATGTTTAGTAGTCATTATTGACCATATTAATTATTTCAATTAATTATACTTTTTATCTAAGGCCTTGTTTGAGATGAAAAAACTAGTTTTTTTTTAAATATTTCGACCTCAACAGTTTAACTTATGATTTTTCCTTCTTGAAGGTGGGATAATACGTCATCTCAAAAAAAAACCACAATTAGTTTTTATCCACAGGTTTCGGATTTATTTAATCCTTCCTCAGGTGAGTTAACGCAATGGTTAAAACAGTGGTCGTCAGTCATTAATATTTCAGAACAATTTTAAAAAAGAGCCAATGTGGTACATATTTAAGCCTTTCAGACTCTGAATAAACAAATATTAACCAAAATTTAATATCAAAAATGAAGTCTTTTCAGACAGCTCGGCGAAAACCGTAAGGAAGATTTCTCTGTTTTGACCTCTTCCGAAGATCCTCTGAAAAGACTTCATGTTTCCAGCAGGTCGATAATCTAGTTCATCGTTACATTAATATCAAAAATATTAAAAAGGCTCTTTTTTAAAATAAACTGTTATAAAATATTAATGACTGACGACCACTGTTTTAACCACCGCGTTAACTCACCTGAGGAAGGATTAAAATAAATCCGAAACATTGTGGATAAAAACTAGTTGTGGTTTTTTTGAAATGACCTATTATCTCACCTTCAAGAAGAAAAATTCATAAATGAAAAAGTTAGTGTCATGAGCGGGATCCGAACCGACGACCTTCGGCAAGAACTTAGATAAAAAGTATAATCAAATGATATAATTAATACAGTAAATTATGACTGCTAAACATATATGGATTAATATAATTGTTACACAAGTAATTACTTCGCTAACAGCTGCATAAGTCCATACTTTATAAGTTGAGAATCGAATCCTGATTACACAATATTTGAAAACATGGTTAAACAAGGGAAAATTCAAAAAGTTTTAGGTTGAGATGAGTTGTTGTCCAAGTAGATTGAAGTTTAATTAATTTCTAATTTTAATTAATTATTCTTTTTATGTAAGGTCTTGATTGAGATGAAAAAGTTAGCGTCACGAACGGGATTCGAACCCTCGGCTCGAAGTCACGATAGTTCAAGTGGTTAGAGCAGCGGCGTATCGAGCCGAAGGTCGTGGGTTCGAATCCCGCTCATGACACTTACTTTTTCATCTCAAACAAGGCCTTAGCTAAAAAGTATAATTAATTGAAATACTCATTAATATAAATTTTTTGAAAGTTTTTTTTTCTTTTTTCCACTAAATTCAGCAGTCCGAACGATGTTTAATTTGAAGCAATCATTTGCAAGCTATTCGCAGAATTAATTTTCACAAAAATTGTAATGAAAGTATGTGGTATCTTTTATTCGGACACTGCCGAATGGGACAATAATAAAAAAATATTCAGCAGATCCTTGCTGCGCAGTGGAAATAATACAAATTTTAAAAAATGCGAATTACAAAAAAAAATTATATTCCTTTCTAAAAAAATAAACAAACAAATTCAATTTTTCGAAATAAAATATAAAAAATCTCAAACAAAATGATCATACAAAAAAGAATTAAAATATTTTCTTTTGCCAACCTGTGAACGTTACATGATACGAAGTAGATGCTACGACTGCCTTCAAGCTACTACTCGTTATGGCAAAAGCTGCGCTAGTTTTTCTAACTATTTATTTGGTAAATGAACTATTTACATTTTTATATAATACAAATCAAAATAACAAAATTTTCTTGACTTAACAATTTAAACAAATAGAAAGATTTTTTCTAAATAAATTACTGTTGGTTTGAAAATAAAATAACATTTGCTTCATCGTTAATAATAATAATTTAACTTGAAAATTACAACATAAAAAAAATATAAACAAAAAGTCAATTAAATAAAAATTGTCGTGATTTTCATGACAAAATCAAATCTTCTCTAATTTCTTCAGCCAAGGACCAATTGATTTATTATTTCAATTGACAGTAAATAAATTGTTGAAGGTACCAAAATAAAAACTTTGCAACAATTTCCTCAGATAACATCGATTAACAGGATGCCCTAACCTAGCTCATTAAAGTTCGATCGAGCCTGGTGCAAATTTCATGCCACAAATACAAATTTGAAGGAATTAAAGTTTGACAAACAAAACTTAAATTAAAAAATTAAAAAATTCAACGCGAAAATTTCGGTCCACTTTCTCTAAAAGCCCGATCATCTTTACTTTTTCTTATAATGTACGAGTCCTTTTTACAATATGCACATTATGCCGAACAACATAAAATCTAAACTTTAGGTTTTTTAGATTGGACAATTTTTATTTGTTTTGTTTGTCAAACTTTAATTCCTTCAAATTTGTATTTGTGGCATGAAATTTGCACCAGGCTCGATCGAACTTTAATGAGCTATATCCAGAGCATGGTTGATATTATTTGAAAAAATTCTACTAAGTTTGGATGCACACGGAGCAATTAATTTACTATCAATTAAAACGATATTGATTCTTGATAGAAGTTGCGAAAATTTTGTTTTTTCGAAAAGCAATAATGAAAAATAGATTTTTGCTTATAACTTAAGAATGGTTGCTTCCAAGTTAAAAACCATCTGCTCCACAGAATTCAGAAAAAAATGTACTTTGATGACTATCTAGCCATTTGAAATAATTAAGCTTCTATTTGTAACCTACTATCCTGGAGAGTTAGACTTTTTGGCTCATGTGAAACTAGACAAAAAAAATTTACGTATCTCGGGACTTTTGTCAAAACAAACCTCTGTACCTTGATTGTCTCCTACCTTCATGATCTGTACAATCTCATTTCGTTTGCCTGTTTCGATTTCGACATTCAACACTTCATCTTCAAAGGTTGGTCTGTCTGTTATTTTGTCAGTCCTGTCTTTTTTGATATTCTTGAAAAAAGTGAAAGGGTGAAAAAGGGTCTGTACGTTATTTCTTTCTCTCAATCGGAGTCTTTTTAGATGGGCTAAGTCTGGACTTGAAAAAATGCATCTGACAGACAAAATCAGTGAGAATGGGCGGTACAGGAGACAATCAAGTTACAATAAATGTTGAACAATTTTTATTGTTTATTTGCATCACAAGGACAATTATTAGAAATCAAATATAAGATGTGAATAATTATTAAAACTGCATTAATTAATTTAATGAGATGAAATGATCTTTGTCATTAAAGTGCTCGATGTTAAGAGAAAAAAAAATGAACAAATTTATATGATGAAACTTTAATTTTTTAAGTAACAACATTTCTAGATTTAAATGATTAATGAATCCAAGGAGCACATAAGCCACCATATAATAAAAAAATAAAAACATTAATAACCAAAAGGCATTAGAGAATATTGTGGATTATGATATAATTAAAAAATCAAGCATAATAATGTTAAGATATTTTAAGCTGTATGAAATACTCTACACAGAAGCTAATATTGTTATTTATTGATTAAAAATAAAAGTTTAAACAGATGTTAAAACGAAAAAAAGCGAAACAGAACAAATTAATAAAGCAGACTATGTATAGAGATCATAAAAGATAGTGGAATAGCTTAAAAAATCCCATCACCAAGTATCAACTTGGCTTACCAACTTTTTTACGTTGACTCCAGTTATGATGGGCGGCTGCCTGCTGATTCTTGACAAATCACCCAACGATCTAGCACGCTAACACATTCAATGTTATGTTTAATTTTGCCACCAAAAGCCATATTAAAAAAAAATTGAGCTCTTAGAAGAGAAAGGATATGAGTGCGAAAAAAAAGTTAAAATTTTAAGACAAATTTGACATTAATAAAGGTAGTTGTAAAAAAAAAAATTGAAAGTAACATGCATAAATTTTAAATTAATTTTTTGTTGTTAAATTGAAAGCACGAGTTAACAAGGTATATTGAATCCTCATAAAATATAGAAAAATAAAATACTTTCTGATTTAGAGGTTGAAGAAAAACATTTTAATAAATTCTGTAATGAAAACTTACCAAATGTATATCAGTATTAGTTGTTTCAGTAATATCAACCGTTTCACATGCCTTATGAATATCACCAAAGCTGCGCCTCTGTAATGTTATTAAAAAAAAATGTAACATGCAGTCTCCTGGTTAGAATTGTCATTTGACACAAGAGTTAATAAAATAATAATCATGCTTTCATAAGCTAAATAAATAATAATTAAAGATTATTTAACAAATCAGTGATCATAAAGCAAAAATACTTACGAGTTCTCTTATGGAAACTGCTGGAGGCACTGGTACTTCCGACGGCTTAGTTTGCACCAATTTGTTCGCCTCAGTGACGTAGTTTAATTTCTAATTAGCAAAACCAACAACAGATAACTTAAATCATGCAATTAATTAAACAAAAATAAAAAAAATTCATGCTAAAATATAAAAAATATAAAGCAAAATAATATAATTTAATAATGTAATTTAGCAAGTATCTAACAGAAATATTAATTTTTTTTATATTGTAAATTTAAAAAATTCCTTTCCAAGATTTTTTATTTTTTTAAATTTATTTTTTTAATGAGGGTATTTAACCTATGAAGTTATATGAACGCTTGGGGTTCCGGTGGTTTTGAAAAACCCCATTTGTAAGTATGTTGGGTTCGAATTCAGGGCCGTTAGATTCAAACCAGCGTCCTTTACCATACCAGTGATGATTAGTGTCATGTCTACGCCTAAATCGTTGTGTCCGCCGACACCCCTTTCAAAAAGTTTATAATTTTTATTAATTATTTTTAGTTAATCAATCTCTATTTGACTGTATGTTGATACCGCCCCAGTCTGGAATTCAAAAATGTCAAAAGGTGCTTACAAGAAAAAAATAACACCAAATGATTTATGATTTGTAAATTTCCGAGATAAGATAAGGGCATATTAGAGAAATCACAACCAATGTACTTAGATGGCGGCAATTTAAAGAAAATGATTCTTTCTAAAAATGATTTTTGTAAATTTATTTATTTTTTCTGCAATTAATGATTAATAAAAAAATAAAAAACTGGCTTTTATTTTAATCTAAACACATTTAATGAAAAATAATTAATATGACTATGATGAAGGTGAGTATGCAGATTCACTTTTTGTAAACGATGGTTACACTCATAAATTTGTTGTTTATAATGATCCGAATTTCAAGCACGAAATGCCCATCATCAATTGAAGGAGAAAGTGAAATTTTTTGTAGTTTGTAAAAAAGGATATAATAAAATTAAATATATGCCTACTATGTAATTATGGTAAATTTAATAATAAATTTTTAGGGGCGTCGGTGGCCGCAAGGTTTAGTCTTTGACACGGCGCTCATCACTGTAAGGTAAAGGTCCCGGGTTCGAATCCAGCGGCCCTGCATTCGAACCCGACATACTTACAAATGGGCTTTTTTTCAAAAACACCGGCACCCTGAGGGTTTATATGACCTCTGCTGTTGCGAACCCTCGTAAAAAAAAAAAAAGTCAGACTTCAATAATAAATTTTATGAAATAAAAGGGTTGAAAACCAATGGGGTCTTCCATTATTTGATCTTCATGGATAACTTTGAAAAAAAAAAAAAATATTTTCAAATTAAATAACAAATTAATTAAATCTGTTCTTTTTTGGAAACGCTATATAGAGGGTATTTTATGTATATGGTCGGGAACACTAGATCTAAAAGAAGTCCTCCAATTAATTCTTTACACCCTACTATAAATTTTACATTGGAAATAGTTGTTTGAACTTTTTAGACTTAAAACTGTACATAATAAAAAACCTACTTGAAATAGACATATATAGAAAACCCTCAATTAGACCAATACCAGATTCTTCTCACCCATGGACCAAAAAAGCGGGTGGATTCATTTGGCTTATATATCATTTACAAATCTGTGAGTAGAACCATCATTTACAAAAATAAAAAAAATAATTAATACCAACTTTTATTATTTTTTATCAAGTTATTCTTAATTATACATATACTCAATTAATTAAAAAATGATTAATTGATATGATCACTACTGCAATCACTAGTAAAATACGCAACATATTGTCAGATGAAAAATAAACTACTTACTGTATAATAAGTTTTTCAAAAATTTAAAATATAAAACAGTAATCTGTACACTGTGTTTTAAGTGCTCTCTGTCAATTTATTATAATTTTTTTTAATTATATTAAAAAATTGTAGCTCTACTTTGTCAACTACTCTGTTCTAAATGAAGTGATAACAGTGTTAACCTTTTTAACTTCAAATTACTTTTTTTAATTTCTCAATTATCTTTTTAACCTAAAAAACCACTCAAATTAACACTTTTTAACATCAAATTTACCTTCAAACTAACCCTTTTCTTAATTCCTCTATAGAACTTTTTAACTTCAAATTAACCTTTTTTAATTTCTTAATAACTTTTTTAACTTCAAATTAACCTTTCTAATCTCTCAAATACCTCTTTTAATTTCAAATTAAGCCTTTTTTTAATGTTCTAATAACCCTTTTTAATTTCAAAATTACCTTTTTTCAATTTCTTTTAATTTAAATCTTCTTTAAAATCGACATCACCTTGTTTATAAAAAAAATCCCACATAAAATTATTTAAAAAACAAACAAAAAAAGTTTTCCTAAGCAGTTTTATAAATTTATTTTTTTATTATTTTATTTATTACTTTTAAAAAAATTACTTCTACTTTGTCAACTACTCTGTTCTAAATGAATTGATAACGGTGTTAACCCTTTTTAACTTCAAACTAACATTTTTTGGTAATTTTTCAATAACTCTTTTTAACTTCAAATTACTTTTTTTAAATTTCTTAATTACCTTTTCAACCTAAAAATCACTCAAATTAACACTTTTTTAACATCGCATTTACCTTCAAACTAACCCTTTTCTTAATTCCTCTATAGAACTTTTTAACTTCAAATTAACCTTTTTTAATTTCTTAATAACTTTTTTAACTTCAAATTAACCTTTCTAATCTCTTAAATGCCCTTCTTAATTTCAAATTAACCCATTTTTAATGTTCTAATAACACTTTTTAATTTCAAAATTACCTTTTTTTTTATTTCTATGTACCGGCAATTTAAATTCCACAATCAAATCACCTTGTTTATAAAAAAAAAACCTATGTAAAATTATTTATAAAACAAACAAAAAAAGTTTTCCTAAGCAGTTTTATAAATTTATTTATTTTTTCTCAATTTATGATTAATAAGCAAAAGAGGTTGATTGATATGATCAAAAAGGCAATTTATTGGAAGTTGGCAAAAGCAAAAAAAAGTATTTATTGTACAATGAATTGTTTGCCAAAAAATTAAAAAATAAAACAGTGACCATGCAATAAGCCATATAATGTTTTATGTGCTCTCCGTAAATTTATTATAATTATTATTAAAAAAAAAAAAATGGTACCTCTACTTTGTCCAAATCAATTGGCACACTTTTCGAAACAAGACACCACGCTGAAGGTAGAAGCGAAAACATAACTTACCGGTGTACGGACACACCCGGCTACAAGTCGACCTTCTTTCTTATTAACTACTGTTCTAAATGAAGTGATAACAGGTGGATCATTATCGCGGTTTAGTAGGAAAGTGTTTTTCTGTTTGTTTGTCATGTTGCGTAACCATCAAGTGCCATGGGTAAATTTAGGGGTAATGAAGGACAATATAGTTTTGAATAATGATACGTGAGAACACCAAGGTTGTAAAGTGTAAAAATAGTCTAAATTTACTTTCTGATCATTTTTTAACCCTTAAAATCGTTTAAATTCAGTCTTAAAAGCAATTCAAAAAAATTTTCAAGTCGATACATTACCCTGAACAAATTGGTACCTTTCAGCATTAAAACTTATTTAGTTTCATTTTAATTAATTATCTCACCAAATTTTTAACGCAGACATTGGAAAGCTCGTTTTCCTTGACAACTGGAGGTGGTGAAGGAGTGCGTTCTGGGCTTGAATGATGGCCATTTGTCATCTTCATTTTTGTTAGGGAACAAAAAATACCACAAAACAGTGTTAATTCACACAATAAAAAAAGTTAATAATAATGATAAACACACAAATTAGCATCATATATGTATAACATTTGATAATTCAACACAAAAATCACAGATCATAACATATAAATAAATTTACGATAGGGAGATGGTGATGATAGCCGATAGTACCATTGCTCTGGCAATATGTAAGTGCATAAAGCCATTAAAAAATTAATATAAATAAATCAAATGTTAATAAGCTCATTGATAAACTAACATTGGCATGTTAACAAACCACTTACCTAATTTCAAGCATTTCTTGTAATTTTGTTTTCAGAATTAAATACGACAAGGATAGAAATGATGAAATAAAACAATCTGTTACTTACCACGGATATGTGATTTTCCTTTTCTTCTGTTTTCTTGGATTTTTTTGTTTTTTTCATCTTGGTGAAGTTTGTGTCTCCCTCACCATTGCTCTTCTTTTTCTTCTTCTTTTCTGTAACTGTAGTCTCGACTGTTTCAGTCTGAAATCGTAATTAATCTTTTTAGCAAACAAAAAATAAATAACTTTAAACATAAAATTTATCCATTTTCTTTATTAATGGAAACAGTAGTATAGGTGACATTATCGCAGAATTATAAAATCAATCATAAAGTGATAAGTAGTCATTAGAATTCTGGATAACAATGAATAAATTAATAGAATAATATTCAATAATAAATTTAAATAATAATATATTAATAATCATATGTAGCTTTTTTCATATTATATAACTTTTTTACCTTCACATTAACCGTTTTTAATTTTTTACTAACTTTTTTAACATCAAATTAACCCTTTTTAATTTCAAACCCTTCTTAACTTTAAATTAACAGATTTTAATTTATTAATAATGCTTTTTAACTTCAAATTAAACTTTTTAATTTCTTTCTTTAATAATCTTTTTAACTTCAAACTAAGTTTTTTTAATTTCTCAATAAAACTACTTCAAATTAACTTTTGTTAATTTCTTAATAATCATGAAAATCATAATTAGACGTTTTTGGGACATGATCAAATCGTTCGCTAAATAATATTCATATATAGTTTTTTTTTTTCTTATTACATCAATTCTTTCTAAGCTCAGCTAAGATTTTAAAGCTTTTTTAAATTTCTTAATAACCCTTTTTACTTTCAAATTAACCATTTTTAATTCCTTAATAACCCTTTTTAACAACAAATTAACCTTTTTTAATTTCCCATTAACCAATCTTATCTTTAAATTAATGGATTTTAATTTATTAATAACCTTTTTATTTAACCTCAAATTAAGCTTTTTAATTTCTTTCTTTCCTAAGCTTTTTAAATTAAACTATCTTTTGGTAAATTTCTCAATAAAACTTTTAAATTCAAACTAACCTTTTTATTAATTTCTTTTAACTCTTTTTAACCTCAAATTAACCTTTTTTCTTAATAACCCTTAATTAATTAGTTTTAAGGTATAAATAGCCCTTTTTAACTTCAAACTAACTTTTTTTACATTTCCCTTAATAACCTTTTTAATCCCTTAATAACTTTTTTAATTTCAAACTAACCTTTTTTTATTTCAAATTGAGCCTTCCTTTGAAGCATAAAATAACATAGAAAACAATATGAAAATTAATTAAAATTAATTAATTTATTTATAAATTAATCAACTGTAATTAATTTTAATGTGTTTTTATGGGTTTTTAATGCTTTAAAGAAAGGGTTTAGAGGAAATTAAAAAAAGGTTAATTTTTATATTAAAATGGATTGATTTCACAAAAAAAAACTAATATTTCTTTGATATAAAATAAACACATATGGAGGAAATAAAGTACAATTGTTACATAAAAGTAAATATATACAGGGTGTATCTATAACTGAGAATGGTCCCCTCAATAAATAAATTAAAAAAATCAACTTCTAAACTATAAACAAAGAGCAAATCTGATTACATAAATCTAAAGAACATGAAACATAATATAAGTTGGTTGGTGTTTTTTACTTTGTAAATAAAAGAAACATTATGTGGCTTTCAAGAATATAAAAAATTCTAAAATATTTAAATTAGCCAAAACTAAACCTTCAAATTACCTTTTTTTACAAAAATTTCTAACCCACAAAGACCTGTTATATAAATTAATTAATTAAACGATACACCCTGTATATAAAAGGTTTGTGCAAGTTTAGTAATTGCCACACTTTAATATATATCTAAAACTATTAAATACTCTGCTTAATAAGGATTGTTAAAAAAGTTAATCAAACAAAACTCAAACTGTTAAAAACCAACAGCACACGTTTTCTTATTTACCCAAAAGTTGATTTGGTATGTTGGCCTGATGAACAGACATGGTGGATGGATGCCTTGCAGGATTATTATCCAATTGTAATTTTAATCTTGTCAAATTGGTTGTCAAAAAAAAGAACTAAGCAAGGAAACAGTAGTTAACTGTTTAAATTCATTGTTAAGTCGATAAAGGAATAATTCATGTTTTTCTTTTTCTTTTGAAGCCTTATAAAACATACAAATCCTTTGCGATTTGCTAGACAATAATTGTATATTTAAATAATCAAAATATTAAGAATTGCAATTTTGGCTAAATTGAATTTACCAATGCATTCTCAGTTAGTGGACATCGCTTTGCTATTATTCTATTCATAGAGAGAAATTGAAATAAAGAAAGAATGTTGAAGAGAACAAAACACTATGTTTTATAATATTAAAATTTCTAAATTGTCTTGAAAGAACAAAGTACAACAAAATAAATAAAAAATCTTCATTTTTATGTTGTACAAGTATTATTATTAAAGTTAACAATCTTAATTGTTTCAGTCTTAATTATTACACGTTTAAATTTAAAAATTGCTTATTTTTAAAAATGAACTTCATTTCAAAACTTCCCGCAGTCCACTGGCAATTCCAGCTTATATAATTTACAATCGGCGTGTACAATAAATCAGCCGGTATGATGGCAGTCTGGAGTTGCCTCCTCGGTCTCGTCTGTCCAACCACTGAAGTTGGGCTCCAGGGGCTAATAACAGCTAGGTCATTTCAGCCCCAAAACAATCAGTTTCTAGACTCAAAACCCCCTCACACTCTCACTCACTCTGCATTCTTTCCTATTTACATGGCATTCACTCAAGGTAGTGGAGTATTTGATGTTCCTGATCACCCTCTACACATAAACTAATCTAGTCGGCCCTTTTACACATTCACACTAATAAATAATTTCAGCTTCAGCATAAACAAAGAAACGCGAGACATCTATTAAGTATTATATATAGCAAAACAGCGCTGTTTTCTCTAAAAATTGAAAAAGGAAGTACAGATATGAGAGGCTCTGGTCCAAAAGAAATTCAATGACTCTCTGACTGATGACCTCTGAGGGTCATCTATCTACAATGCTCTTGAGACAAAAGAGATTGATTCTCTGCTGCCCCAGCTACCACTTTTTTAAAATCCATATTTGCTTAGTGGCCATATTAATTTTTTCCAATTATTCTTTTTATGTAAGGTTTTTGATTGAGATGAAAAATTAGTGTCATGAGCGGGATTCGAACCCATGACCTTCGGCGCAATACGTCTCTGCTCTAACCACTTAAGCTATCGTCACTTCAATCCCCTCGGACAACAACTCACCATATCAACCTACAACCGATCAAATTTTCCCTCTTTTTGCTTTATTAATTTAATAATTAAAAGAAGTAATTACTTCACTAACAGCTCCCCATGGCCATTTCATAAGTCGCTGAGAATTTAATCCTGAACATTTGAAAATATGGCAAAAGGAGGGAAAATTCAAACTGTAGGTTGTGATGAGGAGTTGCTGTTTGAGAGGATCAAAGTCACGATAGCTAAGTGGTTAGAGCCAAAGGTCATGGGTTCGAATCCTGCTTGTGACACTAATTTTTCATCTCAACCAAAAACCTTAGATAAAAAGAATATTCATTGTAATTTTTTAACCTTTTTTTTTATTACATTTTTAGCGTCAGAGGATGGATTGCAGTGGTAAGTCCAAATTTTGCGTCAATTTATAAGAGTAGAACAGTTTGCTTTATAGTCTTGATTACTGTTACAATTACTTTTTTTTTTTTTTTTTTAAGAAGAAGAAAAATCTATCAAGTTAACCCTTCTGTCAGGATCCATCATATGAAGTCCTGAAGCAAAAGCAAACTTATTATTAATCCTAATTTACTAATTATATTTTGTAAAAAAAATGGATAAAGAGTAGAAAAAACTGAATAAATGCTTAAGAACTAAACTTCGACAGAATAAAAAAATATTTTTACACTAGGGCAACAACTTATTCTTATCATTTTTCAATTAATAATTCTATGTAAGGTCTTGGTTGAGATAAAAAAGTCAGTGTCAGGAGCGGGATTTGAACCCACGACCTTCGGCTCTATACGCCGCTGCTCTACCATTTGAGCTATTGTGACTTCGATCCTCTCAGATACAAACTCTCCATCGCAAACCTACAACCGTTCAAATTTTCCCTTGTTTTGCCATTTTCAAATGTCGTATAATCAGGATTGGATTCCCAGCAGAAGTGGCCATAGGGAGCTGTTTGATGAAGTGATACTTCTTCTATTTATTAAATATTAATCCATTTACGTTTTAGTGGTCAATTGACCTAGTTACTTCTTTCAATTAATTATTCTTTCTACGTAGGTCATAATCAAATAAATTACACGACATTTGAAAAATGGAAAAAAGGAGGAAAAATTCAAAATATGGGGTTGAGATGGGAAGTTGGTGTCTGAGTGGATCGAGGTCACAATAGCTCAAGTGGTTAGAGGAGCGGCGTATTTAGCCGAAGGTCGTGGGTTCAAATCCCACTCGTGACACCGACTTTTTTTTATCTCAACTAAGACCTTCAAAGAATAATTAATTGAAAGAAGTAACTTGGTCAATTGACCACTAAAACATAAACGGATTAATATTTTTATTTATTTATTTTTTTTTTTCAATTGTATACTTAAAAAATATTATTTTATATAAAAAGTAAAAAGAAGTTTCCTTTAAATAAACATCTACGTTCTTGAGGTGGAAACTGTGACATGAAAGTGTGAAACTTTCAATACTGGCATAATCGTCTTAATTTAATTATAGTTATTGAAAATTCACTTTTTGAATATAGGCGAGTGTCAGGGGTAATCTTGTTTATTAGAAAGCTCCTTCTTTTCAAAATGTATAAAACTCGTTTTTTTTAAATGCCTTCTTTGACCATAAGCAAAGTTTTTACCTCCTTTCAAAGACAAATTGGACCCCTGTCGATCCGAACGGATGCAAATTAATCGGAAATTTACATAAACATGTCTTGATTCCCATTGGTATGCCTGTTGACGGCAATTCAATAAACTGAACGTCTGCCCCTGGCCGCTAATATAAAACTCGACACGCTGAATCCAAATTAGGTCTAAAATCTTCGAAAATAATCCACGGTATTTCAAGTACATCAAATTTACAATAACTTGACTAGAGAGAGTTTTAAAATCAGTCGAACGCCAACTTCA